AAGGAAATCAGAGTCAGCCGGAAGATATTTCTACTAGAAACACCGAAGAGCCATCACCTCCTTTCCTATCACTGTTTGATCACTGTTCCCTGGGAGAAGAAGCTGACCTTCACCACACCTCAAACAGGTCTCAGGGAGTTGCAGAGAGTGATCAGGTCTCCCTTGGAGCCTTATCTTCTCCAGACTCAACAATCCTAGCTCCCTCAGCCACTCCCCAGAAGACTTGGATTCCAGACCGTTCTCCAGCTTCGTTGCCCCTCTCCGGACACATTCCATGGCCTCAAGGTCTTCCTTGTAGTGAGTGGCCCAAAACTGAACACAGAGCTCATGTTGTGGCCTCACCAGGCAGACAATCACCTCCTTAGTCCCTCTTGAATGATCTTGGAACTCTCTAATATGTGCTATCTTTGTGTCTTTACATACCCGACTGTGAATTCTTCAGGCCCCTCTGTGAATTCTGTGAAAAGAATCATCATGAACTGCTAGCAAAGAAATCAATACGGCATAAAACTGCACTGTGATTAAACTAGAAACCTGGAATCAGATACATGGATCATCCAGAAGTAATGGTTCCTATTTATTGATTTCCATGGAAACTCAAACTGAGGCACAAAGGGCACAATAACACAGTTTGATCGAGAAAATTCTCAGCTACAAAGCCTTTTTTTTTCCAACATAATCACTGTCATCAGCCAATTTGTGCAGACGAGCTGCTTGAGACACTCTCTATTCATTGGAACAGTATTGCAACAGCCAGCCCCGCCAACCATCCTGTGGTCGTCAACTCCTCTCTCTCTGCTCATCGAAATGCATCTGCCTGGTGCCACTATACTAGTCCTAACATATCAAGATGGTCAAACTCACCCATTCAGCTTCCGCCGGGGATATTCTTGATTTGGGGCGACCGAGCGTGGCCTAGTGTAGCATCCAGATTGAGGGCTGGGCCTTGTACCTTAGGTCGACTGTCACCGTTGGCCCCCACTACGTCAGTGCTGTTACAACACCGTCAGCCTAGAAGGCACAAGCGTATGGCTCATGCCTTCACTAAAGAATGCGACTGAAACGCTGACTTTTGGAATTTTGAACACAGGTTCTTTTCTTCTCTATCAGCTCCTGGGGTAGCCAGCGCCAAAGCTCTATCTACCCCTCACAAACTGGGCTGCTGGCTCGCTAAGCAAACTAACGCTACATCACTTGCTATTAGTAATCTTTTATTAGATGTAGACTCGGTCCGCCATGCCACTTGTCAAGATCGCGCCGCCATCGATTTTCTGCTACTTGTGCATGGGCATGGGTGTGAGGATCTCGAAGGTATGTGCTGTATGAACTTGTCTGATCACTCGCAATCTATTCCTAAGCAACTGTCTGTTTTACAAGGGCTGACTTCTGGCCTACGAGAAGAAGAAGGTCTGGGGCTGGATCAGTGGCTGAAAAGTCTTGGTTTAGGCCCCTGGGTGCGCGATAGAAGTAAATATTTGTTGGTCCTCCTGGGATTTGTGTTCTTGGTTATGATATCCGTGCCTTGCTGTCTTACCTGTCTGCAAAGCTTCATTACTCGCATGACATCTAGAGCCTTTTGCGCCAATCTGCTAGCCCTAAAAGAGGAAGGGGGAAGTGTGGAGAGCATTGCTGAAAGCTGGCTTGCAGAAAAGGGTCATGTTGACACAATCCCGCTGATAAGACTGAAATAACTAGGCAGAAACACGAGCCTGCTGACCTATCATCATCAAGGACAGCGTGCCCTTGCAGGATTATGAGAAACCAAGATGAAGGAATAACGGGATGCAGAACTGGGGGTGCTGACTGCGGCAATGCTGCTGCGGTTGTATCAGCTACCCGCGCGCCGACCTATCAGGAGCTGGCCTTTTGCAAGATGTATACGCCTCATGATACGCTGTAATAAAGAACGGTGCCTTCTGATGAAAGTTGAGAAAGCTTGATCAAGCCCTTGGTCGTATCTTTTCTCCCGCCGGTTCCTACACCTCAGCAGGTTAGCATTTTTCCCCTACTCCAGGGAAGGTGATGGAGCAGATTGTCTTGAGGGAGACCATGCGGCATGTGCGGGGTGACCGGGGAGGGGACCAGGCCTAGCCAGCTTGGGTTTGTGAAGGGCAAATCCTGTTTGACCAACCTGATCTCCTTCTATGATCTAGTGACCCATCTGGTGGATGAGGGAAAGGCTGTTGCTGTGCTCTACCTAGACTTCAGCAAAGCCTTTGACACTGTCTGCCACAGCATCTCCTGCAGAAGCTGGCAGCCCGAGGCTTGCATGGGGGCACTCTGGGCTGGATGAGGCGCTGGCTGGAGGGCCGAGCTCAGAGAGTGGTGGTGAATGGAGTTGAATCCAGCTGGCGACCGGTCGCGAGTGGTGTTCCCCAGGGGTCGGTGCTGGGCCTGTCCTCTTCAATATCTTGATTGATGACCTGGACGAGGGCATCGAGTGCAGCCTCAGTAAATTTCCAGATGACACCAAATGGGCTGGAAGTGTGGATCTGCCTGGGGGTAGCGAGGCCCTGCAGAGGGATCTGGACAGGCAGGAGAGCTGGGCTGAAGCCAATGGGATGAGGTTCAACAAGGCCAAATGCCGGGTCCTGCACTTGGGCCACAACAACCCCAGGCGACGCTGCCGGTTTGGGGCGGTGTGGCTGGAGGACGGCGTAGAGGAAATGGACCTGGGGGTATTGACTGATGCTCGGCTCAACATGAGCCGACAGTGTGCCCAGGTGGCCAAGAAGGCCAATGGCAGCCTGGCTTGCATCAGAAACAGCGCTGCAAGCAGGAGCAGAGAGGTGATTGTTCCCCTGTATTCAGCACTGGTGAGGCCGCACCTCGAGTGCTGTGTCCAGTTTTGGGCCCCTCACTGCAAGAAAGACATCGAGGCCCTGGAACGTGTTCAAAGGAGGGCAATGAAATGGTGAGGGGTCTGGAACACAGGGCTGATGAGGAGAGGCTGAAGGAGCTGGGAATGTTCAGCCTGGAGAAGAGGAGGCTCAGGGGAGACCTCATTGCTCTCTATAACTTCCTGAAGGGAGGCTGCAGTGAGCTGGGGGTCGGCCTCTGCTCTCATTACTGATAGGAGCAGAGGGAATGGCTTCAAGCTGCGGCAGGGGAGATTCAGGCTGGACATGAGGAAATATTACTGTTCAGAAAGGGTGGTCAGGCACTGCAATGGATGCACAGGGAGGTGGTGGAGTCACCGACCCTGGAGGTGTTCAAGAAAGGCTGGATGTTGTGTTGAGGGACATGGTTTAGTAGGAGCTATTGGGAATGGGTGAACGGTTGGACTGGGTGATCTTTTAGGTCTTTTCCAACCTTGGTGATTCTATGATTCTATGATTCTATGATTCTAAATCCCTGTTTTTCCCCTGAAATATCGCTCATTTTCATAGAAATCCCTATTTTTCCCCTTAAATATCGCTTATTTTCACAGAAATCCCTGTTGTTCCCCATAGAAATCCCTGTTTTTCCCCTGAAATATCGCTTATTTTCGTAGAAATCCCATGGGGCTCTATGGGGTCTCTATGTGGCTCTATGGGGTCTCTATGGGGCTTTATGTTGCTCTATGGGGGGTCTGGGAGGCTCTATTGAGGCTCTATGGGGCGTTATGGCATCTCTATTGGGGTCTGGGGGCTCTATGGGTTCTCTATGATGCTCTATGTGGGTCGGGGGTGCTCTATGGGGCTTTATGGGATCTCTATGGGGTATCAATGGGGCTGTATGGGGTCTCTATGGGGGTCTGGGGGGCTCTATTGAGGCTCTATGGGGCTCTATGGGGCTCTATGTGGGTCTGGGGGTCTCTATGGGGTCTATGGGGTCCCTATGGGGTCTATGGGGTCCCTATGGGGGCTCTATGGGGTCTGTGGGGTCCCTGTGGAGTCTCTATGAGGTCCTTATGGGGTTTATGGGGTCCCTATGGGGTCTCTGTGGGGTCTAGTCCCTGTGGGGTCTCTATAGGGTCCTTACGGGGTCCCTATGAGGTCTCTATGGTGCTATATGGGGTCCCTATGAGTCCCTATATGTCTCTATGGGGTCTCTATGGGGTCTGGTCTCTATGGGTCCCTATGGGGTCTCTAGGGGGTCTCTATGGGGTCTCTATGGGGTCTCTGTGGGGTCTGGTTTCTATGGGGTTCCTATGGGGTCCCTATGGGTCTCTATGGGGTCCCTATGGGGCCCTATGGGATGTATGGGGTTGTTATGGGGTCCCTATGGGTCTCTATGGGTCCCTATGGGGTCTCTATGGGGTCCCTGTGGTGTCCCTATGGGGCTCTATGGGGCCCCTGGAGGGTCTCCATGGGGTCTGGTCCCTATGGGGTCTCTATGGTGCTCTATGGGGTCCCTATGTGATCCCTTTGGGTCCCTATGGGTCCCTATGGGGTCGCTATGGTGCTGACCCCCTTCTTCTCCCCCCCCCCCCCCCAGGTTCTGACAGCCACCGGCAACAGCCCCAAAATCGACGTCTTCACCAACCTGGGCTACCGCGCCTTCTCCCTGGCCTTCACCTGACCTCTGCCCCCCAAAAAACCCCACAGGGACCCCAAAAAAACCCCACAGACACCCAAAAAACCCCATAGAAACCCCCATATCCCACCCAAAACCCCACATGGCCCCCAAAAACACACAGACCCCCCAGCCCAAACCTCACATCCCCCCAAAAACCCCATAGAAAACCCCATATCCTACTCCAAAAAACCCCATATCCCCCCCAAAAGCCCCAGAGACCCCCCCAAAACCCCATAGAAAACCCCATAGCCCCCCCAGAAACCCCATATCCCCCCAAAAAACCTCACAACCCCCCAAAAAACCCCATAGCTCCCCAAAAATCCCATAGCCCCCCCCCCAAAAAACCCCATAGAAAACCCCAAATCCCCCCCAAAACCCCAGAGTTCGTTTCGTTCGTCGCCTGCTTCCACTTCCGGTTTTTTAATTAAGGCGCTTTTCTTAATTACAGCCTCAGTCGTTGGTCGTCATTAAGGAGGGGAGGGGGTGGGGGTGGGGGGGCTCTATGGGGTCTATGGGGGCTCTATGGGGTCTGTGGGGTCCCTATGGGGTCTGTAGGGGCTCTATGGGGTTTATGGGGTTTCTATGGGGTCTATGGGGTCCCTATGGGGTCTGTGGGGTCCCTATGGGGTCTCTATGGGGTCTCTATGGGGTCTGTAGGGGCTCTATGAGGTCTATGGGGTCCCTATGGGGTCCCTATGGGGTCCCTATGGGGTCTATGGGGTTTGTGGGGTCTTTATGGGGCATCTATGGGGTCTACGGGGTCTCTATGGGGGCTCTATGGCTCTCTATGGGGTCCCTATGGGGTGCCCATGGGGCTCTATGGGTCCCTTTGGGGTCTGGTCCCTATATGGTCCCTATGGGGTCCTTATGGGGTCTCTACGGGGTCTGTGGGCTCTCTATGGGGTCTGTGAGGCTCTATGGGGTCCCTATGGGGTCTGTGGGGTCTCTACAGATTCCTTATGGAGTCTCTATGGGCTCTCTATGGGGTCAGTGGGGCTCTATGGTGTCCCTATGGGGTCTCTATGGGGTCTGTGGGGCTCTATGGTGTCCCTATGGGGTCTCTATGGGGTCTGTGGGGTGTCTGTGGGGTCTCTATGGGGTCACTGGGGCTCTATGGGGTCCCTATGGGGCCAGTGGTTCTCTTTGGGTCTTTATGGGGTCTGTGGGCCTCTATGGGGTCTATAGGGTCCCTATGGGGGCTCTATGGGGTCCCTATGGGGGCTCTATGGGGTCAGTGGGGCTCTATGGGGTCTCTATGGGATCTGTGGGGCTCTACGGGATCTCTATGGGGTCTCTGTGGGGTCTGTGGTGTCTCTATGGGGTCAGTGGGGCTCTATGGAATCCCTATGGGGTCCATTGGGGTCAGAAGGGGTCACAGTGGGGTCACAGCAGGGTCATGGGGTCACACTGGGGTCATGGTGTGGTCATGGGGTCACACGAGGTCACAGCGGGTTCACATGGGGTCACGGCAGGGTCACTGTGTGGTTATGGGGTCACCCGAGGTCACAGCAGGGTCACATGGGGTCACAGCAGGGTCATGGGGTCACGGCGGGGTCGCGGGGTCACGGGGTCAGCTCAGCGCCCGCCATGTTCTCATAGGAGCCGGCATCTGGGGGGGGGGGGGGGGACGACACAGCTCCATTGTCCCCATTGACCCCAATGTCCCCAGTGTCCCCATTGTCCCCATTGACACCAAATGTCCCCAATGTCCCCACTGATCCCCATTGACCCCAGTGTCCCCATTGATCCCCATTGTCCCCAATGTCCCCAATTGACCCCTATGTCCCCATTGACCTCATTGTCCCCAATGTTCCCATTGATCCATTGACCCCCATTGACCCCATTGATCCCCACTGTCCCCACTGATCCCCAATGTCCCCATTGACCTCATTGCCCCCAATGTCCCCAAATATCCCCAATGTCCCAATTGACCCCAATGTCCCCATTGACCTCATTGCCCCCAATGTCCCCAATGTCCCCATTGACCTCATTGATCCCCACTGTCCCCACTGATCCCCACTGTCCCCACTGTCCCCAACGTCCCAATTGACCCCTACGTCCCAATTGATCCCCATTGTCCCCAATGTCCCCATTGATCCCCATTGACCCCAATGTCCCCATTGACCTCATTGCCCCCAATGTCCCCAATGTCCCCATTGACCCCAATGTCCCCATTGACCCCAATGTCCCCATTGACCTCATTGCCCCCAGTGTCCTCATTGACCCCAATGTCCCCATTGACCTCATTGCCCCCAATGTCCCCAAATGTCCCCAAATGTCCCCAAATGTCCCAATTGACCTCATTGCCCCCAATGTCCCCAATGTCCCCACTAATCCCCATTGTCCCCAATGTCCCAATTGACCCCTATGTCCCCATTGACCCCTATGTCCCCATTGACCCCATTGATCCCCATTGTCCCCACTGTCCCCATTCTCTCCCCAAGTCCCCATTCCCCCCTCCCCCGCTGTCCCCATATCCCCAAAGATGTCCCTAAAGATGGGCCCCAACCATGTCCCCAATGTCCCCAGCGATGTCCCCAATGTCCCCACCGTCCTCATGCCCGTCCCGACACGGCGCTGCTGCCCTCCTTGTGCCCCCCATCTCCTCGTAGGGCTGTGAACCTGAGGGGGGGGGGGGGTGGCTTTGTGTTCCCCCCTCCCCATTTGGGGACATTGGGGGGTGGCTTTGTGTCCCCCGTCCCCCCCCCCCCCCATTGGGTGGCTTTGTGTCCCCCCTCCCCCATTTGGGGACATCGGGGGCTGGCTTTATGCCCCCCCCCAATTTGGGGACACTGGGGGGTGGCTTTGTGTCCCCCACCCCCCCATTGGGTGGCTTTGTGTCCCCTCTCTCAATCTGGGGACATTGGGGGGTGGCTTTGCGTCGTCCCCCCCCCATTTGGGGACATTGAGGGGTGGCTTTGTGTCCCCCCACCCCCATTTGGGGACATTGGGGGATGCCTTTGTGTCCCACCCACCCCCCCCCCCATTTGGGAACATTGAGGGGTGGCTTTGTGTCCCCCCACACCCCATTTGGGGACACTGGGGGGGTGGCTTCGTGTTCCCCCCCCACCCCCCCTTGGGGACATTGGGGGGGGGAGGGTGACATTTAGTGTCCCCAACCCACCTGCGGAGCCGTCACTGCGCCCGTCCCAGCGCTGTGCTGCCAGCAGCGCCCGCTGCAGCCCTGGGGACAAAAGGGGGACATCAGGGACATCGGGGGAGGGGGGGGGGGACATCGCTGGGGACAGCAGGGGGGATTTGGGGACAGCGTTGGGGACAGCGGGGACACTGTTGGGGGAGCGTGGGGGACGTCACTGGGGAGATGGGGACAGTGGGGGACATTGGGGACATTGTTGGGGACATTGGGGACATTGTTGGGGACATCTTAGGGGACACCTTTGGGGATACGGGGACATTGGGGACATTGGGGACATCGTTGGGGACATGGGGATAGGGGGGAACATTGGGGACATCTTTGGGGACATAGGGGGACACCTTTGGGGACATCACTGGGGATATGGGGGCAGTCAAGGACAGTGGGGACATCGCTGGGGACATTGGGGGACAACTTTGGGGATATGGGGACATTGGGGACATCATTGGGGACATTGGGGGACACCTTAAGGGACATCTTTGGGGACATGGGGACAGTGGGGGACATTGGGGACATCATAGGGGACATGGGGGACATCTTTGGGGACATCTTTGGGGACAGTGGGGGACATTTTTGGGGACACCTTTGGGGATATGGGGACATTGGGGACATTGGGGACATCGTTGGAGACATTGGGGACAATGGGGGAATCACTGGGGACATTGGGGACACCTTTGGGGACATCTTTGGGGATATGGGGACAGTGGGGGACACTGGGGACACTGGGGACAGTGGGGGGGAATGGGGACAGTGACCCTATAGGGCTGGCTGACCCTATATGGGTTTGTGACCCCATAAGGTGTGTGATCCCATAAGCGACCCCATAAGCGCCTCTGTAAGTGACTCCATAAGCGCCCCTATAAGCGCCCCTATAAGCGACCCTACAAGCGACCCCATAAACGACCCTATAAGTGACCCCATAAGTGCCCCTATAAATGCCCCCATAAGTGACCTCATAATTGATCCCATAAGTGTCCCCATAAGCGACCCCATAAGCTATGTGACCCTATAAGCAACCCTATAAGGTGTGTGATCCTATAAGCGACCCTATAAGGTTTCTGACCCTATAAACCCCCCTATAAGCGAACCTATAAGCGACCCTATAAGCGCCCCCACAAGCGACCTTATAAGCAATCCTATAAGCGACACCATAAGCACCCCTATAAGCGCCCCTATAAGTGACCCCATAAGTGAACCTATAAGTGACCCTACAAGTGCCCCCATAAGCGACCCTATAAGAGACTCTATAAGCAACCCCATAAGCGCCCCTATAAACACCTGTATAAGCGACCCCATAAGCAACCCTATAAGCATCCCTATAAGCGACACTGTAAGTGCCCCCATAAGTGACCCTATAAGCGACCCTATAACTGTCCCCATAAGCGACCCTATAAGCGCCCCATTACCTGTGATGAGCTGCGCTGCTCCCGGGCTCAGGGCGGCTGTGGGGTGAGAAGGGAGCGGCCCCATAAGGAGTGACCCCATAAGGAGCGGCCCGATAAGGAACAGCCCCATAAGGAGCGACCCCATAAGGAATGGCCCCATAAGGAGCGGCCCTATAAGTTATGGGGTTTTATGGGGTTCTGGGGGGTTTTGGGGGGTTTTGGAGGGTTTTGGGGGGGGGGGTTGGGGGGTTTTATGGGGTTTTGGGGGGTTTATGGGGTTTTGTGGGGTTTATGGGGTTTTGTGGGGTTTTGGGGCGGGTTTATGGGGTTGCTCACCTGAAGCTGGGCCGGATTTGGGGTCGTTCTCGTAGCTCCCTGTGGGGTGCAAAAGGTTTGGGGTTGTGGGGCTTTGGGGTCTTGCGGGGTCTTATGGGGTTGTGGGGTCAGTGTGGGGTCCTATGGGGTGGCTGTGGGGTTGTGGGGTCCTATGGGGTCTTATGGGGTGGCTGTGGGGTCTCTATGGGTCTGTATGGGGCACTATGGGTTGCAATGGGGCTCTATGGGGTCTCTATGGGGTGCTATGGGGTCTCTATGGTTTCTGTGGGGCGCTATGGGGTCTCTATGGGTCTCTATGGGGCGCTATGGGGCTCTATGGGGCGCTATGGGGCAGCACTGACCAGCAGAGCTCCGTGATGCAGGCGCTCCGGGTTCGTTCTCGTATCCATCTGTGGGGTGGGGATCAGTGGGGCAGCACCCCATAACCACCCCATAACCACCCCATAGCACCCCATAACCACCCCACAGCACCCCACAGCACCCCATTACGCCCTATAGCACCCCATAACCCCTCACAGCCCCCCATAAAACCCCACAGTCACCTCATAGCCACCCCACAAACTCCCATAGCACCCCATAACCCCCCATAGAACCCTATAGAACCCCATAGCACCCCATAGACACCCCATAGCACCCCATAGACACCCCATAGAACCCCACAACCCCCATAGCATCCCACAGCACCCCATTATGCCCCACAGCACCCTGCAACCCCCCATAGCACCCCACAAACACCCCATAGACACCCCATAGCACCCCACAACCCCCCACAGCATCCTACAGCACCCTACAGCACCCCATAGAGACCCATAGCACCCTGTAGCGCCCCACAGCCCCGCATAGCACCCCATAGACACCCCATAACCCCCCATAGCACCCCATAACCCCCCATAGCGCCCCATAGCCGCCCCCCATCTGACCGCTGTTGCTGTCTGGGTGCTCGTAGCCTTCATCCTCCTCCTCCTCTTCCTCCTCCTCCTCGTGCTGTGGGTCGCTGCCCCACGGCGTCTGGGGGGGGCTGCCTATGGGGCTGGCCAGCTGTGCGGGGGGTGCTGGGGGGAGATGGGGGGCTGATGTGGGGCGGGATGTGGGGCAGAGGGGGGGAAAGGATGTGGGGCAGAGGGAGAGATGTGGGGCAGACGTAGGGAGGGATGTGGGGCAGGATGTGGGGTGGGATGTGAAGCAGAGAGGGAGGGATGTGGGGCAGAGGGGGGGCAGGATGTAGGACAGGATGTGGGATGGGATGTGGGGCAGAGGGGGGGCAGATGTGGGGCAGAGAGAGGGGGGATGTGGGGCAGGATGTGGGGTAGGATGTGGGGCGGTTATGGGGCAGCTATGGGGCGAACTCACAGGAATGAGCCGTGGGGCAGAGCGCGTTCCCATAGCTGTTGTGGGGCCCAGGTTCCGATACACGCAGAAATCTGTGGAGCAGAGGGGTGGGTCTGCCCCATAGATCCCAGCTCCATAGATCCCAGCCCCATAGATCCCAGCCCCACAGATCCCCATATAACCCCAGCCCCCCAGATCCCTGCCCCATAGATCCCCAGCCCCACAGATTCCTGCCCCATAGATCCCCAGCCCCACAGATCCCTGCCCCATAGATCCCAGCCCCACAGATCCCCCTCACCTGCGGTCCCACAGGCGCTGCTGCTGTGCGTGGAGCTGCTGAGCTGTGGGGCAGAGATTGGGGTGGCTCTTCTGTGCCCCATAGAAACCCCATAGAGACCCCACAGAAACCCCACAGACCCAACAGAGCTCCATAAAGACCCTATAGACCCTATAGAGACCCCATAAATGCCCCATAGAGACCCTGACACCCCAAAGACCCCCATAGAAACCCCATAAAGACCCCACAGACCCCATAGAGCCCCATAAAACCCCGGAGACCGCACTGACCCCATACAGACCCCATAGGGACCCCATAAAGACTCCAGAGACCCCCACAGAAACCCCATAGAGACCCCATAGAGACCCACAGAAACCCCACAGACCCAATAGAGCCTCATAAAGACCCCATAGACCCTATAGAAACCCCACAGACCCCATAGAGACCCAATAGAGCCCCGTAAAACCCCACAGAGACCCCACTGACCCCATAAGACCCCATAGAGACCCCATAACCCCACAGAAACCCTATAGAGACCCCATAGCGCCCATAGAGACCCCACAGAGACCCCACAGAGCCCCATAGAAACCCTACAGGGACCCCACAGACCCCATAGAGACCCCATAAGGACCCCATAGAGACCCCCTAGAGACCCCACAGACCTCACAGACCCCATAACCCCACAGACCCCATAGAGACCCCATAGAGACCCCATAGACACCCTATAAAGACCTCATAGACCCCATAGAGACCCCATAGAGACCCATGGAGACCCATGGAGACCCCATAGAGACCCCACAGAGACCCCACAGAGACCCCACAGACCCCATAAAGACCCCATAGAGACCCCATAACCCCAGAGAGACCCCACTGACCCCGATGTCGCCTCCACAGCCCCACAGCCACCGCCGACCCCACAGCGCCGTACAGGAACCCAAAAACCCCCAAAGGAGCCACGCGACCCCACAGAGCCGGGAACAGACCTGGGGTCAATGGGGTCAGGGGGGTCAATGGGGTCACAGGAGCCCCACAGACCCCATAAACGGCCCCATAAAGCCCGGCACGGCCCCATAGATCCCATAATACCCCATAGAGCCCATAAAAAGCCCTAAGAATCCCATAAACACCCCACAGACCTCATAAATGCCCCATAGATCCCGTCATGGCCCCATAGAACCCATAATGCCCCACAGATCCCATAAACACCCCATAGATCCCATCATGGCCCCATAGATCCCACAAAAAAACCCTAAATGCCCCATAAACATCCCATAGATCCCATAAAAGCCCCATAGAACCCATAATGCCCCATAGATCCCATAAATACCCCATAGATCCCATAAATGCCCCATAGATCCCATTATGGCCCTATAGATCCCACAAAAAAACCCTAAATGCCCCATAAACATCCCATAGATCCCATAAAAGCCCCATAGAACCCATAATGCCCCATAGATCCCATAAATACCCCATAGATCCCATAAATACCCCATAGATCCCTTCATGGCCCCATAGATCCCACAAAAAAACACTAAATACCCCATAAACACCCCATAGATCCCATAAATGCCCCATAGATCCCATCATGGCCCCACAGAACCCTTAAACACCCCACAGATCCCATAAACATCCCATAACCCCCCACCCCATAACCGCCCCATAAACCTCCCCACCCCATATCCCTCCCTACCCCATATCCAACCCATAACCCCTCACCCCATAACCCCATATCCACCCCATAACCCCATTTCCACCCCATTTCCACCCCATAACCGCCCCATATCCACCCCATAACCCCATTTCCATCCCATAACCCCATACCCACCCCATAGCCACCCCATAACCCCATATCCACCCCATAACCCCATATCCACCACATATCCACCCCATAACTGCCCCATGACCCCCCATTTTCTCCCCATATCCACCCCATTCCCTCCCCATACCCACCCCATAACCCCACTTCCACCCCATATCCACCCCATAACCGCCCCATAACCCCATACCCACCCCATAAATGCCCCATAACCACCCCATAAATGCCCCATAACCACCCCATAACCCCCACCCCATATCCACCCCATAACTGCCCCATAACCCCCTCATTTTCTCCCCATATTGACCCCATACCCTCCCCATACCCACCCCATAACCCCACTTCCACCCCATAACCGCCCCATAACCCCATATCCACCCCATAACCCCATATCCACCCCATAACTGCCCCATAACCCCCCATTTTCTCCCCCTATTGACCGCATACCCAGCCCATAACCACCCCACAATCCCATATCCACCCCATATCCACCCTATAACCACCCCATAACCCCATACCCACCCCATACCCACCCCATAACCGCCCCATAACCGCCCCATACCCACCCCATAACCCCATATCCACCCCATACCCACCCCATAACCCCCCTCACCATCGGGGTCGCTGACTTCCAGCTCCACCTCCTCAGCCCCCCCACCGCTTGCTTCCTCTTCCTCTTCCTCTTCTTCTTCCTCCTCCTCCCCCCCCCCCCACTCCATAAAAATCCCCTAAATCGCCCATCCCCCCCCCAAACAATTTGGGATCCCATTTTAGGGGAGGGAGGGGGGGGAAATCCCAGCCGTCGGGGGCGGGGCTTAAACCGTGGCTTAAGTTGAGGGCGGGGCTTAAATCGGGGGAGCGGCTACCGTCGGGGGCGTGGCTTCGGTCGGGGGCGCGAACGCCGGGGTGGGCGGGGCGTCGGTCGGGGGCGTGGCTTTGATCGGGGGCGTGGTTTAGGTCAGGGGTGCGAACGCCGGGGTGGGCGTGGCTTCGGTCGGGGGCGTGGCTACCGGGGTGGGCGTGGCTTCGGTCGGGGGTGCGAACGCCGGGTTGGGCGTTGTTTCTATCGGGGGCGTGGCTCGCATTGTCGGCGTGTCCCGGAAGCCCCGCCCACTCGCAACGGTACCGCCCACTTTGGGACTTCCGCAGCCCCCATAGGTGCAGTCCTCCCATGGGACCCAAACCCGAACCCGGTGCCGCCCAACCGTTTAAAATAGGGGGACCGGAAGTCCCGCCCCGGAAGTTGCCGCGGAACCACGTGACTCGGGATGGTGGAGGTTTTTTTGGGGCAGGGGGCGGGGATGGGAGGCACGGGAGCTGCAGAACGGAACCCGGGGCGGCCCGAAGGGATGGCAGAGCTGTGGGGCACAGAGAGACACAGGGAGCCCATAGGGACCCCATAGGGAGCCCATAGGGAGCCCATAGGGACCCCACAGATACCCCATAGGGACCCCCTGACCCTGTAGAGACCCCATAGAGACCCCATAGGGACCCCATAGAGACCCCATAGAGACCCCATAGGGACCCCATAGGGACCACATAGGGACCCCATAGGGACCCCATAGGGACCCCATAGAGACCCCATAGGGACCCCATAGGGACCCCATAGACCCCCACATACGCCATAAAGACCCCATAGAGACCCCATTGAGCCCCACTGACCCCATAGAGACCCCATAGAGACCCCATAAACCCACACAGACCCCATAGAGACCTCAGACCCCCATAGAGACCACACAGACACCCCATAGGGACCCCACAGACCCCATAGAAACCTCATAGAGACCCCATGGAGACCCCCATAGAGACCCCATAGAGACCACACAGACACCACAGAGACCCCAGACCCCATGGAGCCCCACTGACCCAATAGAGACCTCATAGAGACCCCGTAGACCCCACAGAGCCCCACTGACCCCATAGAGACCCCACAGACCCCATAGAACCCCACAGAGACCCTGCAGAGACCCCAGACCCCCATAGAGACCGCATAGACTCCATAGAGACTCACTGACCCCATAGAGACCCCACATACCCCATAGGGACCCACAGACCCCACAGAGACTGCACAGAGCACCACTAACCCCATAGAATCCCATAGAGACCCCACAGAGAACCCACAGAGACCCCATAGAGCTCCACAGACCCCATAGAGACCCCATAGAGCCCCACAGACTCCATAGAGACCCCACAGAGCCCCACAAAGCCCATAGAGACCACACATACCCCATAGAGACCCCAAAGACCCCATAGGGACCCCATAGGGACCAACAGACCCTATAGAGACACATGGAGACCCCACAGGCCCCATAGAGCCCCCACATACCCCATAGGGACCCCATAACAACCCCACAGAGCCCCATTGACCCCATAGAGACCCCACAGAGCCCACAGAGACCCATAGACCCCATAGGCACCCACAGAGACCCCATAGAGACCCCATAGACCCCCACAGACCCCATAGAAACCACATAGGGACCCACAGACCCCATAGAGACCCCATAGAGCCCCACAGACCCCATAGAGACCACATAGGGACCCACAGACCCCATAGGGACCCACAGTCCCCCTAGGGACCCATGGAGACCCCATAGAGCCCCACTGACCCCATAGAGACCACATAGGGACCCACAGACCCCATAGGGACCCACAGTCCCCCTAGGGACCCATGGAAACCCCATAGAGCCCCCACATACTCCATAGAACCCCATAGGGACACACAGACGCCATAGGGACCCCACAGAGACCCATAGACCCCATAGGAACCCACACAGACCCCATAGAGACCCCCATGACCCCCCCTCTCCATTCCCCCCCCCCTCCATGACCCCCAGTGACCCCTTGACTTCTCACCTCCCAACATCACGTGAACGGTTCCGGCCCGTTCTCCAATCGCGCAATCGTACCGACCCACGTGCTCCCTTCTCATTGGTCCCAAGTTAAGCCCCGCCCCTTCCGTCCACTCCCCCAACGGGAGGGGCCGCCCATTGTGGAACCACTGAGCGGTGGGCGTGGCTTGGCGCGGGGGCGTGGCTTGGCGAGGGGCCGCGGCTCGAAGGGGCGTGGGTTCGTCGGGGGGCGTGGCTTGCGTCCCGTTTGTGGGCGTGGCTTCGGCGGGGGGCGTGGCCACGGGGCAGCGCAGCGTCACATTGGAGTCAATGGGAGCGGCTACAAAAAGCTTCTCTATGGGGGGGGGGGGGGTGGGGTTGAATTTTGGGTCATTTTGGCCCTTTTTGATCATTTTCTCCCCTCCCCTTTCCGGTTTTTCCTTTCTTCCCGCCCCCATTTTAACCGTTTTCCCTCATTTTTTTGCACCAAATTCCTTCCTGTCTTCCCATTTTTGGCCTATTTCCCCATCCATTTCCCCCCACTTCCCCATCAATTTCCCCATTCATTTCCCCATTTCCCCATCGATTTCCCCATTTCCCCATCAATTTCCCCAATTTTCTCACTAATTTCCCCATTTCCCCATTAATCACCCCATGTCCCCATTCATTTCCCATTTCCCCATCAATTTCCCACAATTTCCCCATTAATTTCCCCATCAACTTCCCCATTTCCCCATTCATTTCCCCATTTCCCCATTGATTTTCCCAATTTTCTCACTAATTTCCCCATTTCCCCATCAATTTCCCCCAATTTCCCCATTTTCCCCATCAATTTCCCCTACTTTTCCCATTTTCCCCCCCAATTTCCTCATTTCCTCCCCAATTTCACCATTTCCCCCAATTTTCCCATCAATTTCCCCAATTTCCTCCCCAATTTCCCCATCAATTTCCCCCAATTTCCCCATTTTCCCCCAATTTTCCCCATTTTTCCCATCAATTTCCCCCATTTTTCCCATTTCCCCCCAATTTCCTCATTTCCTCCCCAATTTTCTCAATTTCCCCCCATTTCCTCCCCAATTTCCCCATTTCTCCATCCATTTCCCATCCACTTCCCAATTTCCACCCATTTTCCCCATTTATTTCCCATCAATTTCCCCATTTCCCCCCAATTCCCATCATTTTTCCCCCAATTCCCCCCCCCCAATTTCCCCCATTCCCCAAAATCCCCTTTTTCTCCCCCTCCCCCCTCTTTCCCCCCATAATTCCATCATTTTTCCCAAAATTCCCTTTTTTCCTCCCAATTTTTCCCCCATCCCCCCAATTTTCCCCCAATTCCCTATCCCAAATTTTCCCCCAATTCAGCCCCAATTTCCCCCATTCCCCCAAATCCCCTTTTTCTCCCCCCTCCCCCCCTTTTCCCCCTTCCCCCCCCCCTTCTCCCCAATCCCCCCCTTTTTCCCCAAATCCCCACTTTTCCACCCGAATTTCCCCGCCCCGCCCCCCCCCCTCCCCCCCCCCTCCCGGCCGCTCACCTCCTCCAATCACGTTGACCAATGCTCCGCTTTCAGTCCCGCCCACTCGGCAAAAGTACGGCCCCGATTGGCTGAAGCGGAGGCGCGGCAACAACAAAGCCCCGCCTTCCCCCAGCCCCAAAGCCCCGCCCCCTCGGCCGACAGCCAATAGGAGGAGGGGGGGAGCCCCGGCCACGCCCACACGCGTCCAACGTAACCGCGGGGGGAGGAACGAGGGGGGGGAACCGCGGAGGGCGGAGTCACAGCGGAGCAGCGCCGAGCCTGGGGACAATGGGGACCAATGGGGACCAATGGGGACCAATGGGGACCAATGGGGACGTGGGGGGACGTGGAGGGGAAATACGAGACCCCACAGACCCCATAGGGATGCATTGGGACATTGGGGACCCCATAGACCCCATAGGGATGCATTGGGACCTTGGTGACCCCATAGAGACCCCATAGACCCCATAGGGATGCACTGGGACCAATGGGGACCCCATAGACCCTATAGACCCCACAGACCCCATAGGGATGCATTGGGACCTTGGGGACCCCATAGACCCCATAGGGATGCATTGGGACCTTGGGGACCCCATAGAGACCCCATAGACCCCATAGGGATGCATTGGGACCTTGGGGACCCCATAGAGACCCCATAGACCCCATAGGGATGCATTGGGACCTTGGGGACCCCATAGAGACCCCATAGGGATGCATTGGGACCTTGGGGACCCCATAGAGACCCCACAGACCCCATAGGGATGCATTGGGACCTTGGGGACCCCATAGAGACCCCATAGACCCCATAGGGATGCACTGGGACCAATGGGGACCCCATAGACCCCATAGACCCCACAGACCCCATAGGCATGCATTGGGACCTTGGGGACCCCATAGAGACCCCATAGGGATGCATTGGGATCTTGGGGACCCCATAGAGACCCCATAGACCCCATAGGGATGCACTGGGACCTTGGGGATCCCATAGAGACCCCATAGACCCCATAGGGATGCACTGGGACCTTGGGGACCCCATAGACCCCATAGAGACCCCACAGACCCCATAGGGATGCAGTGGGACTGTGGAGACCCCATAGACCCCATAGAGACCCCATAGGGACCCCACAGACCCCATAGGGATGCATTGGGACTGTGGGGACCCCATAGACCCATAGAGGCCACACAGATCCCATAGAGACCCCACAGGCCCCATAGGGATGCATTGGGACCTTGGAGACCCCATAGACCCCATAGAGACCCTCATAGACCCCATAGAGACCATTGAGACACCATAGACCCCATAGGGATGCTTTGGGATTTTGGGGACCCCATAGGGATACTTTGGGACCATGGTGACCCCACAGACCCCATAGAGATGCATTGGGACTGTGGAGACCCCATAGAATCCATAGAGACCCCATAGGGATGCTTTGGGACCATGGTGACCCCATAGACCCCATAGAAACCCCACAGATCCCATAGAGACCCCATAGACCCCATATGGATGTATTGGGACCATGGCGACCTCACAGAGATCCCATAGACCCCATAAAGACCCCATAGGGATGCATTGGGACCTTGGGGACCGCATAGACCACAAAAACCCCATAAAACCTCACAGAGCCCCATAAAAACCCATAAAATCTCACAGAACGCCATAAAACCCCATTAAATCCCATAAAACCCCATAAACCCCCACAAACCCCCATAAAACCCAACAAAATCCCACAAGAACCTCTAAAGAACCACAAGAACCACAGAGCCCCACAAAACCCCACAGAGACCCATAAAACCTCATAAACCACCATTAAACCCCACAGAACACCATAAAGCCCCATAGAACCCCACAGAAACCCATAAACCCCAATTAAACTCCACAGAACCCCATAAACCCCCATAAAACCCCACAGAAACCCATAAACCCCACAGAACCCCACAAAACCCCATAAAATCCCACAAAACCCCATAAAATCTCATAAAACCCCACAAAACCCCATAAAACCCCATTGAAGCTCACAGAGCCCCATAAAACCCCATAAAACCCCACAGAAATCCCATAAAACCCCATAAACCCCCACAGAACCCCATAAAACCCCGTAAAACCACATAGAACCCCACAGAACCTCCTAAACCACCATTAAACACCACGGAGACCCCATAAAACCCCATTAAACCCCATAAAGCCCCACAGAGACCCCATAAAATCACACTGAAGTTCACAAAACCCCATTAAAACCCCACAGAACCTCATAAAACCCCACAGAACCTCATAGAACCCCACAAACTGTCATTAAACCCCACAGAGACCCCATAAAACCCCATGAACCCCCACAAAACCACACAGCACCCCATAAAATCCCACAGGACCCCATTAAAACCCACAGGACCCCACAGAGACCCCATAAAACCTCGTAGAACCCCACAAAATCCCATAAAACCCCACAAACCCCCACAGAACCCCATAAAACCTCATAGAACCCAACAGAAACCCACAAAACCCCACAGAGAACCCGCACAGACCACCCATTAAACCCCACAAAACCCCACAAACTGCCATAAACCCCCACAGAGACCCCATAAAAACCTACAGAGCCCCACAAAACCCCACAGAGACCCCATAGAACCCCATAAAAACCCATAAGAACCCCATGAGGACCACATAAAACCTCATAAAGCCCCACAGAGACCCCATAAAACCTCATAGAACCCCAAGGAGACCCCACAAAACCCCATGAAACCCCACAGAGACCCCATAAAACCCCTAAAACCCCACAGAGATCCCATAAAACCCCACAGAGACCCCATTGAAGCTCACAGAACCCCATAAAACCCCACAAAAACCCCACAGAGATCCCATAAAACCCCACAGAGATCCCATAAAACCCCATAAAACCCCCTAAAACCCCACAGAGATCCCATAAAACCCCATAGAACCCCACAAAAACCCCACAGAGATCCCATAAAACCCATTAGAACACCATAAAACCCCAAAGACCCCATAATACCCCATAAAACCCCACAGAGATCCCATAAAACCCCACAGAGACCCCATAAAACCCCATAAAACCCCACAGAGATCCCATAAAACCCCTAAAACCCCACAGAGACCCCATAAAACCCTATAAAACTCCACAGAGATCCCATAAAACCCCATAGAACCCCACAGAGACCCCATAAAACCCCATAGAACCCCACAAAAACCCCACAGAGATCCCATAAAACCCCATAGAACCCCCTAAAACCCCACAGAGACCCCATAAAACCCCATAGAACCCCACAAAAACCCCATAGAGATCCCCTAAAACCCCACAAAGACCCCATAAAACCCCATAAAACCCCACAGAGATCCCATAAAACCCCATAGAACCCCACAAAAACCCCATAAAACCCCACAGAGACACCATAAAACCCACAGAGACCCCATAAAACCCCATAGAACCCCACAGAGATCCCATAAAACCCCATAAAACTCCACAGAGATCCCATAAAACCCCATAGAACCCCCTAAAACCCCACAAAGACCCCATAAAACCCCATCAAACCCCACAGAGACCCCACAAAAACCCCATAAAACCCCACAGAGACCCCATAAAACCCACAGAGACCCCATAAAAACCCCACAAATCCCCACCGCTCGCTGTCGCTTTTAGGGTCGCCCCGGCCGCCGTCCCGAAGCCCAGCAGGCAGAGCAGCGCCGCCGCCATCTTGGTAAGGTCACAAATAGGGACAGGATGTGATGTCACTTATGGGGGCCGTGGGCCGTGACGGGGCGGAGGGGTCCCTGGGGAGCCTACAGGTGCCGCCGAGGGCCAAAAAGCCCCAGCGTGTCAACGGCCGCGTTTCCTGACCCCATTGCAACCCCTTAAGAACTCGTCCCCATTTCCTGACCCCATGGCCACCCTTTAAAACCCCACAAAACCCCATAAAACCCCCACAGAGACCCCATAAAACCCCATAAAATTCCATAGAACCCCATAAAACCCCACAGAGCCCCATAGAACCCCATAAAATCCCATAAGACCTTGTCCCCATTTCCTGACCCCATTGCCACCCCTTAAAACCCCATAAAACCCCCACAAAACCGCACAGAGACCCCATAAAACCCCACAAAGTCTCACTAAGCTCCACAGAACCCCATAAAACCTCAGAAACGCCCATAAAACCCCAGAGAAACCCCATAAAACCTCAGAAACCCCCAATAAAACCCCACAGAAACCCCATAAAACCTCAGAAACCCCCAATAAAACCCCACAGAAACCCCATAAAACCTCAGAAACCCCCATAAAACCCCACAGAAACCCCATAAAACCTCAGAAACCCCCATAAAACCCCACAGAAACCCCATAAAACCTCAGAAACCCCCCATAAAACCCCACAGAAACCCCTTAAAACCTCAGAAACCCCCAGAGAACCCCAGAGAAACCCCATAAAACCTCAGAAACCCCCATAAAACCCCACAGAAACTCCATAAAACCTCAGAAACCCCCAGAGAACCCCAGAGAAACCCCATAAAACCTCAGAAACCCCCCATAAAACCACACAGAAACCCCATAAAACCTTGTAGAACCCCACAGAACCCCATTAAACCCCATAAAACCCCACAGAACTCCACAAAACCCCATAAAACCCCACAGAATCCCATAATGAGGAAGACTGTTAAGCAAAACAGAGCTGGCTGGCCTGAAAGGGTCAAACAGGGAACACGCGGCCCCTCCTGAAAGGGAAGGGCTGCCATGTGAAACTGGCAAGCATGAGCTACAGCTTCTTCGTTCCGTGATCAAGAGCAGAACACGTTCTGTGCAGAGAACGCCTTTGGATCTCTGCACTGACCATCATCCACAAAGAGCTGATTAAGGAATGACGTATTGCTGTCAGCTGCATGCATGTTATCTGATTGAAGTATTGCATTCTCCTGTAGCTAAAAGATATAAAAACCCTGTAACAACAATAAACTTTGCTTCTTGCGCCACCAGAGCCTCAGCCCGTCTGTCCCAGGCGTCTTGAGCTGCTCTCCGTCATCTGGTGCCGAAACCCGGGAATCTCGGACTCCAATGACAAAGGCGTCGCTTCCTCCCACGAGCCGCGGTTGGTGAGTTGAAATAGGGAGGTAAGGACTGGGGAATTGGGCAGATTGTTAAATAAAATGGGACAAGCTGCAAGTACTGAACGAGGCCTTTTTTCTGCAGTGCTGAAATCATTATTAGTTGCCCGAGGAGTAAAAGTGACTCGGGGTCAGATTAGTCATTTTTTAGATTTTATAGAGGAAGTATGGCCCTGGTTTCCCAGGGATGGAACTATTAATATTGAAACTTGGAACAAAGTAGGTGAAAGACTCCAGGGCTGTTATGCTGTGCATGGTCCTGAGAAGGTACCTATTGATACCTTTATGCTTTGGACTCTAATGAAAGAATGTCTCAGAGGAGACACAGGAGATGAGAAGTGGCAGCGGACCACTCGCTCAACAGAAAAGTTAAATCCTGCCTTGCCGCCATCAAAATCTCTCCATCACATCCCTTTGTCCATCGGCACCCCCACCCTCCCCTCCCCAATATGAGCAACCTTTGATTTGTAAATTAGCAAACGACTGGCCGCCTTGTGAACCTCCTGGCACTAACATGACAAAGGATATTTTACCCCCTGATGATTGGGGAGAGTTAGAAAAAGAGGCTGCTGAATCTCACCGTAAGGACTCAGTGGCTGTATTCCCAGCGTTACAGGCTGCTGATGCCGCTGTGCAGACACAACAGACAGTCCATCAGCTCCATCACATCCCCTTGCTGTTCTGCCTGCCTTTCGAGCAGGGCGAATGCCTCCCCCGCCCGGAGTTGATGCTTTGCTTATGCAAAAATCTCCTATGCAGTTGGCTTTGAAAGAAGCTGGGAAAGCTGAGGAAACAATTGATGAATTTTCTGGGCAACTTTTTCCGTCTCAAGTTTTCCCTGTCATACAGCATCAACTTGCAAACGGTGGCATTCTGAATGATTATGAGCCTATTCCTTTTAAACAACTGAAAGAGCTTAAAGCTGCTCATATTCTTCCCCCTTCTGACTGGAAAAGCTTGGCGAAGGCTGTGTTAAGTGAAGGTGAAAATTTGCTTTGGACTTCCGAATATGCGGAACGGTTCTTCTTGTGCCCCTTTATTACCAGTTCCTCATTTTGGAGTGAACCCCTGAGGATTAATGCCTAATGATTTATGGCAGATGGATGTCACACACGTACCTTCTTTTGGAAAATCTTCTTATGCCCATGTAACAGTTGACACTTTCTCTCACTTTGCAGTAGCCCTCAGCCTTGTCTGGTGAAAAACTCTCTCATGTATGCAACCATCTTTTGCATTGTTTTGGCGTTATGGTGTTGGAAATAATCCAAGTAATTTTGTCAGGACGGTATCTCTGATAAAAGCAGAATTTATTCGCGATTGCAATGGCAGCCTATGGACACAACATGACAGCCTTTATACCCTGTTTTCTCCCCTTTGCCTCCCCCTCCCCTGTTTCCCCAATGGCTGGGTACTCCAGGTTCACAATCTTATCAGAAGAATTTACATTTGCTATTTACTTGTTCATTTATTTGTTATCTGGTGCCAGTCAGTAATCATCCAAGATGTCTGGGTGCTCTCCTTGTCCTGTTGATATGGTGATTTTCTTTAAAGTCATCATCGTTAAACAAAGAGCACTGGGGGATGATGTCAGGCCTTCCCAATGTTTCTTCAGGCTCTTCCTCGGGCTGCCATGGCTTGTTCTCATGCAGGATATTCTTGCAGTGTATGTGGCAAAATATACATCTATACACCTATATACAGAGTGTGCGTTCCTGGGAAGGTTCGTCTATACGATAAGTGATGTAAACTTATCAGAGATCTTTCCCAAGTTAAGTAGAGGGACTCCCAAAAAGAACTATGAGAGTGGAGATCATAAAATAAAAATAATATTATACAATTCTAATGCAGAAACAACACTTGATTCTCACAATGGGAACACTGAAATCATTAAAAACCAATAACCGGCCAGCTTAAGTAAGTAACGGTTTTGCAACCTTTTGTCGACATTTTAAAATTTACCATAAAACTGGAATTCCATATAATCCAGAATCACAGAATTGTAGGGGTTGGAAGGGACCTCCAGAGATCATCGAGTCCAACCCCATAATCCCCATAATCCAGAAGGCCAAGGCATAGTAGAAAAATTTAATCATTTATTGAAAACTCAACTAAAGAAAATAAAAGGGGGGACATGAGGAAATAAAGATACTCCATCCTCTATGTTATCACATGCATTATTTGTTTTAAATTTTTTGACACTGGATGATAACGGAAAATTGGCTGCGAATAGATATTGGAGTAATAAAACAAGAGATGAACCAATACAATATTGGAGAAATCCAATGGACGGTAAAATTTATAGTCCTGACCCTGTACTGATTTGGGGCAGAGGATATGTTTGTGTTTTCCCTACAGACGAAACCTCACCATGGTGGATACAGGAGAGATGTGTCCGACATGCCGGAAACCAAGATGGGAAAACTGCGGAGGAAGATGCAGAGACTGACTGTAACCCAGACGTGGGAAAGAAAGATGCACGAGAGAATACGACTCGTGGCCCTAATCCTCAGGACCTTGTGGATCCTACAGCATGGCTGTAAAGCAGAAACATATTGGGCATTTGTACCCAATCCTCCTATCATTCAATTCAATATTCAGATATTCAATATTCAGATGGACACATAATAGAGTTCTCTGCGCGTTTTAATTATTCTGGAAAGGTTGATGGTATGCCTGTATGTTTTCAGATGAATCAAACACAATCCCTGTGTGAGAAAGTGGTAGTGCAAAATGACTGGGATACCAATGTTTCAACAGGAATTCATTGGGCTCTGAATTGTCTCTATATAGATTTAGCTAATGGGACAAGAGGTTCTGGAACGCCTCCCTTAAATTTTCCTTTATGTCAAAGCACAATCACTCCAAAAACAGAATTTGCACCTTTATGGAGAGCATGTCGAGCTAACGAAACGGTGTGCATTGATTCCACTATCTGTGATTGGAATATGATAGGAAATCAAGGGCGACCAATTGATTTGGTCTCAGGAATTTGGACAAAAAACAATCATACGTTCTATTCTAATTTATGGAAAGCAGTCGCAGCTATGGAAAAAATCAAAGCAAAACCATTAAACTTGACTTGGATTCAAATAAAGAATAAATGGGCAATGACTGCAGAGAGTTACACAGCTGAGTTCTATATGCGAGCTTGTGCTCCAGAACCTTATGCCCTTTTAAGCGGACCACTAAATATTGTGAATAGCATAGTGAGTTGTACTGATTGTATAATCTCTAATTGTCTTAATAGGAGCAGTAGTTCCTTCTTGTTAGTAAAGCAACCCGATTACGTCTATCTTCCTGTAAATTTGACACATTATTGCTATGCTGATAAGGGAATGGAAATTCTCCAAGAAGCTTCTTTGCAATTAATAGAGAGATCTAAGCGAATGGTCGAATTAATAATAGCCGGAATAGCTGCGCTCAGTGCTGCCATAGCAGTAACTACAGTCGCTTCTATTTCTTTAACAACTCGTATTCAGACAGCAGCTTATATTAATGAATTATCAATTAATGTATGTAAAGCGTTACAAAATCAAGCTACATGGGATGAAAAGATTGAACTGCGTCTCAATTCCTTAAAGGATACAGCAGACATCCTGGGAAGACAGTTACAAATTATAGCTGCTCGTGAATCTCCCTTGTGTCATGCAGAATACCAAGCTGTGTGACTCCTGTTGAATACAACAATACCAAATTCTCTTGGAACAAAATACAAGATCATCTTCAAGGCACATGGAATAATGCGAACACGTCATTAGATGTTAGGGAATGGAGGCAGCACATTCACGATATGATACAATCACACCATATAGATCTTTCAGTAGCAACTCTACTACATTTATAAGCGCTCTAAAATCTGCATTTCCGTCCTTCAAATCATTTAGAAAAGGAATTTATGGGCTGACAGTCATTGCCATAATGATAATAATAGGAATTCTTGCTTGTCCATGCTTGATGAAAATAACAACAAATAGATTCCAAAATTTGCATATAAATCTTAAAAAATTGGAGATGGAAAACACAAAAAATAAACCACCACCACCTCTGGTCTAATAAAATAGAAAAGGGTGGAATGAGGAAGAATGTGAAGCAAAACAGAGCTGGCTGGCCTGAAAGGGTCAAACAGGGAACACGCGGCCCCTCCTGAAAGGGAAGGGCTGCCATGTGAAACTGGCAAGCATGAGCTACAGCTTCTTCGTTCCGTGACCAAGAGCAGAACACGTTCTGTGCAGAGAACGCCTTTGGATCTCTGCACTGACCATCATCCACAAAGAGCTGATTAAGGAATGACGTATTGCTGTCAGCTGCATGCATGTTATCTGATTGAAGTATTGCATTCTCCTGTAGCTAAAAGATATAAAAGCCCTGTAACAACAATAAACTTTGCTTCTTGCGCCACCAGAGCCTCAGCCCGTCTGTCCCAGGCGTCCTGAGCTGCTCTCCGTCACCATAAAACCCCACAGAACCCCCTAACACCCCATAAAACCCCACAAAACCCCATAAAACCCCACAGAACTGCATAAAACCCTATAAATCCCCATAAACCCCCACTGAGACCCCATAAAACCCTGTAGAACTCCACAAAACCCCATATAACCCCATAAAGCCCATGAAACCCCACAAAACTCCATAGAACCCTATAAAACCCCATAAGACTCCATAGGCCCTCATAGAACCCCATAAAACCCCATAAAGATTTTGTCCCCATTTCCCGACCCCATTGCCATCCCATAAGACCTCATCCCCATTCCCCAACCCCATTGCCACCCCATAAGACCCTGCCCCCATTTCCTGACCCCATTGTCCCCATTATGAGACCCTGACCCCATATCCTGACCCCATAAGACCTTGTCCCCATTACCTGACCCCATGGCCACCCCATAAGACCTCATTGCCACCCCATAAGATCTTGACCCCATATCCTGACCCCATTGCCACCCCATAAGACCCTACCCCCATTTCCCAACCCCATTGCCACCCCATAAGACCTCGTCCCCATTACCTGACCCAATGGCCACCCCGTAAGACCCCATTGCCACCCCATTACTTGACCCCATGGCCACCCCATAAGACCCCATTGCCACCCCATAAGATCTTGACCCCATATCCTGACCCCATTGCCACCCCATTAGACCCTACCCCCATATCCTGACCCCATTGCCACCCCATAAGACCTCGACCCCGTTCCCCGATCCCACTGCCACCCCATAAGACCACAAACAACACAGGCAGCCTTTTAGGTCGTTTATTGTCACTCCGTCTCGCTCCCGACCCCATAACCTCCCCCTACCCCCCCATGGGCCTTTATGGGGTTTTTATGGGGTCGCTGTGGGGTATTGATGTCCCCCCACCCCAAAGAGAGACCCCACAGATATGGGGTGGGAATTAAGGGGAGGGTGGGGGAACTTATAAGGGAAAGGGGAAACTGTGGGGTCAGTGGGGGAAATGGGGGTATTGGGGTCACAATGGGGTCAGTAGGGGAAATGGGGTCAATGGGGTCAATGGGGTCAATGGGGTCACAATGGGGTCAATGGGGCACAATGGGGTCAGTAGGGGAAATGGGGACATTGGGGTCAATGGGGAAAATGGGGTCAACGGGGTCACAATGGGGTCAATGGGGCCACAATGGGGTACAGTGGGGTCACATTGGGGTCAATGGGGTCACATTGGGGTCAATGGGGTCAATGAGGGAAATGGGGCCACAATGGGGTCACAATGGGGTGAATGGGGAAATGGGGTCACAATGGGGTCACACTGGGGTCACACTGGGGTCAATGGGGTCAATGAGGGAAATGGGGTTACAATGGGGTCACATTGGGGTCAATGGGGGAAATGGGGTCACAATGGGGTCACATTAAGGTCAATGAGGGAAATGGGGTCACAATGGGGTCACAATGGGGTGAATGGGGAAATGGGGTCACAATGGGGTCACATTGGGGTCAATGGGGACACAATAGGGTCAATATGGGGTCCATGGGGACAATGGGGTCACAATACGGACAAGGGGGTCAATGGGGCGACAATAGGGTCACAGTGGGGTCAATGGGGTCACAATGAGGTCAATGGGGTCACAGTGGGGCAGAATGGGGGTCAGTGGGATCACAGCTGAGGTAGCTCAGGACAGTGCCATGTGACCCCAGCCCAAGCCGGGACAGGAAGTGGTGTCAGTAGTGACAGGAAGTGGTATCAGGGGCATCAGGAAGTGACGTCAGTAGTGACAGGAAGTGGCGTCAATAGCAGCAAAAAGTGATGTCAGTAGTGAAAGGAAGTGATGTCAGTAGTGACAGGAAGTGGCATCAGTACAGACAGGAAGTGATGTCCAAAGAAGCAGGAAATGATGTCAGTAATGAAAGGAAGTGATGTCAGTAGTGACAGGAAGTAGCATCAGTACTGACAGGAAGTGAGGTCGATAGCAGCAGGAAATGATGTCTGCAGTGCCAGGAAGTGACGTCAGTGGCAACAGGAAATGATGTCAGTAGCTACAGGAAGTGATGTCAGTAGTGCCAGGAAGTGGCATTGGTGGCGACAGGAAGTGGCATCAATAAAAGCAGGAAATGACCTCAATAGTGCCAGGAAAAGATGGCGGTAGAGACAGGAGGTGACATCAGTAGTAACAGGAAGTGACATCAGTAGTGCCAGGAAGTGGTGTCATTGGCAACAGGAAGTGACGCCAGTAATGACAGGAAGTAATGTCAGTGGCATCAGGAAGTGACGTCAGTAGAGACAGGAAATGATGTGACAGGAAATGATATGAATAGAGACAGGAAGTGGTGCGATTACAGACAAGAAGTGAGATCAATAGCAGCAGGAAGTGACGTCAGCAGTGACAGGAAGTGGTGTCAATAGTGACAATAACAGGAAGTGACGTCAGTAGAGGCGAGCAATGTCAGCATTGACCGGAAGGCACTTCAAGAGCCTCAAGAAGTGACGTCATTAGTGACAGGAAGTGACGTCAGCAGTGACAGGAAGTGACGTCAGCAGTGACAGTAACAACAGGAAGTGACGTCAGTAGAGGCGAGCAATGTTACCATTGACCGGAAGGCACTTCAAGAGCCTCAGGAAGTGACGTCATTAGTGACAGGAAGTGACGTCAGCAGCATCAGGAAGTGGTGTCAACAGTGACAATAACAACAGGAAGTGACGTCAGTAGAGGCGAGCAATGTCAGCATTGACCGGATGGCACTTCAAGAGCCTCAAGAGGTGACGTCATTAATGACAGGAAGTGACGTCAGCAGCATCAGGAAGTGACGTCAGCAGCAACAGGAAGTGCCATCAGTATAGACAGGAAGTGCTCAACCTAACCACATCCACTCTCCGAACAGAAAGAGGGTGGGGCTAAGGCACGGCAAAGGCCAATCAGCAGCAAGAGGGGTGGAACCGAAGGCACAGCGCCGGCCAATCAGCAGCGAGGAGGGGGGCTGGGCTCAGCCGGCAGCCACTGAAGCAGCGATGATGGCGACGAGGATAACGAGGGTGAGGACGAGGCAGGCGGCCATAATGAGGCGTTTCTAGGGGATTGAGGAGAGATTATGGGGGATTGAGGAGGGATTATGGGGGATAAATAGGGATTATGAGGGATTATGGGGGATTAAGTGAGGATTATAAGGGACTAATAGGGATTATGGTGGATTAATGGGGATTGTGGGGGGTTATGTGGGATTAAGGAAAAAATAGGGGGCATTAATAGGGATTGTGGGGCATTAATAGGGATTATGGGGGATGAAAGGGCGATTAAGGAGGAACTGTGGGGGATTAATGAGAAATTATGGGGATTAAACAAGGATTATGGGGGACTAATAGGGATTATAGGTGAGAAATTGCAGATTAATGAAAGATTATAAGGGATTAATGGGGACTCTGGGGGATTAAGGATGGATTATGGGGAATTAATGGGGGATTGTGGGGCATTAATAGGAATTCTGGGGGATTATGAGGGATTATGTAGAATTAATAGGAATTATGGGGAAATAATGAGGGATTAAAAGGGCCTTATGGGGGGATTATTTGGAATTATGGTGCACTAATAGAAATTAAGGGGGATTAATGAAGGATTAATGAGGGATTATGGGGGATTAATGGGGATTATGAGGGATTATTGAGCATTAATAAGGGATTATGGGGGATTATGAGGGGATTAAAAGGAATTATGGGGGATTAATGAGGGATTATGGGAGACTAATAGGGATTATGCGAGATTAATAGGGATTATGGGGATTAAGAACGGATTATGGGGGACTAATGGGGATTATTAGGGATTAATGGGGATTATTGGGGATTAAGGATTAATAGGGATTATGGGGATTAAGAACGGATTATGGGGGACTAATGGGGATTATTAGGGATTAATGGGGATTATTGGGGATTAAGGATTAATAGGGATTATGGGGGATTAATGGGGATTATATGGGTTTAATGGGGATAATAAGGAATAAGGGATTATGGGAGATTTATGAGGGATTATGGGGAATTAATGAGGGATTAAAAAGCAATTATGGGGGGATTATGGGGATTATGGGGGACTAATAGGAATTATGGGGAATTAATGTTGGATTAATGAGGGATTATGGGGGGATTATGGGGAACTAATAGGAATTATGGGGGATTTAGGGGGGATCATGGGGGACTAATAGGAATTATGGGAAATTAAGGGAGGATAAATAGTGATAATGGGGGATTAATGGGGATTAAGGAGGGATTATGGGGTTTATGGGCAATTAAGGAAGGATTATGGGAGATTATTAAGGGATTATGGGGGATTATGGGGCATTAATAGGGATTATGGGGGATTAAAAAGCAATTAAGAAGGAATTAGGGAGGATTAAGTAGGATTAAGGAAAATTATGGGAGATTAATAGGGATTATGGGGGATTCTGGGGGATTAAGGAATGATTATAGGGGATTAATAGGGATTATTGGGAATTAAAGGGGATTATGGGGCATTAAAGGGCAATAATGAAGGAATTATGGAGGATTAAGAGTGATTATGGGGGATTATGGGAGATTAATACGAGGTATGGGGTACTAATGAGGGATTATGGGGGATTAATGAGGGATAATAGGGGATTAATGCGGGATTATGGGGATTAATAGGGATTATGGGGGATTAAAGAGGAATTATGGAGGATTAAGAGTGATTATGGGGGATTATGGGAGATTAATAGGAATTATGAGATATCTATGGCGCAACTATGGGGTGGTTATGGGGCGGCTATGGGGCAGCAGTGCGGTGTCTATGGGACAGCTATGGGGCAGCAATGGGGCATCTATAGGGAAGTTATGGGGCAGCTATGGGGCAGCAGTTGGGCAGCTATGGGGCAGTTATGGGGTATCTATGGGGCAGCCATGTGGCAGCAGTGAGGTATCTGTGGGGCAGCTATATGGCGGCTATGGGGTGGCTATGGGGCAGCTGTGGGGAAGCTATGGGGCAGCAGTGGGGCGGCTATGGGGCGGCTGTGGGGCAGCTATGTGTCAGTTATGGGGTGTCTATGGGGCAGCCATGTGGCAGCTATAGGGCAGCAGTGAGGTCTCTATGGGGCGTCTATGGGGCAGCTACGGGGCAGCCATGGGGCGGCCATGGGGCAGCTACGGGGCAGCTATGGGGTGGTTATGGGGTATCTATGGGGTGGCTATGGGGTCGCTAGAGGGCAGCTATGGGGCAGCTATAGGGCATCTATGGGTCAGCAGTGAGGTATCTATGGGGCAGCCGTGGGGCAACTATGGGGTATCTATGGGGCGGCTATGGGGTATCTATGGGGCGTCTATGGGGTGGCTATGGGGCGTCTATGGGGTGGCTATGGGGCGGCTATGGGGCCGTACCCTCCTGGCCTTGCCCTGCTGCTCCTGCGCCGCCCTGAGCTGTCGCCCCCCTTTGTGCACCGCCGTCCCCGACTGCAGGATGTGCAGCTCGATGCGATTGATGGCCTCACCCTGAAACCAGTACGGACCAGTACAGACCAGTATGGACCAGTACGAACCAGTACGGGCCAGTACAAACCAGTACGGACCAGTACAAACCAGTACGGGCCAGTACAGACCGGTACGGACCGGTACGGACCAGTATGGATCAGTACGGATCAGTACAGACCAGTACAGACCAGTACAGACCAGTACAGACCGGTACGGACCAGTATGGACCAGTATGGACCAGTATGGACCAGTACGGACCGGTACAAACCAGTACGGGCCAGTACAGACCGGTACGGACCGGTACGGACCAGTATGGATCAGTACGGATCAGTACAGACCAGTACAGACCAGTACAGACCGGTACGGACCAGTATGGACCAGTATGGACCAGTATGGATCAGTACGGACCAGTACGGACCGGTACAAACCAGTATAGATTGGTACGGACCAGTACAAACCAGTACGGACCAGTATAGACTGGTACAGACCAGTAGAGACCAGTACGGACCAGTACAGACTGGTAGGGACCAGTACAAACCAGTACAGACCAGTATGGACCAATACAGACCAGTATGGACCAGTACAGACCAGTATGGATGTGTAGAGACCAGTATGGACCAGTACGGACCAGTCTGCTCCAGTACAACCCTTTTCCTCCCAGTCCATCCCACTCCCCTCCCAGTCCCTCCCAGTATATCCCAGTCTGTCCTAGTCTCTCCCAGTATATCCCAGTTCATCCCAGTCCATCCCATCACATCCCAGTTCCCTCCCAGTCCATCCCAGTATATCCCAGTTCCCTCCCAGTCCCTCCCATTATATCCCAGTCCCCTCCCATTATATCCCAGTTCCCTCCCAGTCCCTCCCAGTATATCCCAGTTCCCTCCCAGTCTCTCCCATTATATCCCAGTACCCTCCCAGTCCCTCCCATCACATCCCAGTTCCCTCCCAGTCCCTCCCAGTATATCCCAGTCCATCCCAGTATATCCCAGTCCCCTCCCAGTCCCTCCCATTATATCCCAGTCCATCCCAGTATATCCCAGTTCTCTCCCAGTCCCTCCCATTATATCCCAGTCCCTCCCAGTATATCCCAGTCCCCTCCCAGTCCCTCCCATTATATCCCAGTCCATCCCAGTATATCCCAGTTCCCTCCCAGTATATGCCAGTCCCCTCCCAGCCCCTCCCAGTATACCCCAGTTCCCTCCCAGTCCCTCCCAGTATATCCCAGTTAACTCCCAGTCCCTCCCATTATATCCCAGTCCCCTATCAGTCCCTCCCATTATATCCCAGTCCCATCCCAGTCCATCCCAGTATATCCCAGTTCCCTCCCAGTCCCTCCCATTATATCCCAGTCCCTCCCAGTATATCCCAGTCCCCTCCCAGTCCCTCCCATTATATCCCAGTCCATCCCAGTATATCCCAGTTCCCTCCCAGTCTCTCCCATTATATCCCAGTCCCCTCCCAGTCCCTGCCATTATATCCCAGTCCCATCCCAGTCCATCCCAGTATATCCCAGTTCCCTCCCAGTCCCTCCCATTATATCCCAGTCCCATCCCAGTCCCTCCCAGTATATCCCAGTTCCCTCCCAGTCCCTCCCATTATATCCCAGTCCCTCCCAGTATATCCCAGTCCCCTCCCAGTCCCTCCCATTATATCCCAGTCCATCCCAGTATATCCCAGTTCCCTCCCAGTATATCCCAGTCCCCTCCCAGTCCCTCCCATTATATCCCAGTCCCATCCCAGTCCCTCCCAGTATATCCCAGTTCCCTCCCAGTCCCTCCCATTATATCCCAGTCCCTCCCAGTATATCCCAGTCCCCTCCCAGTCCCTCCCATTATATCCCAGTCCATCCCAGTATATCCCAGTTCCCTCCCAGTATATCCCAGTCCCCTCCCAGTCCCTCCCAGTATATCCCAGTTCCCTCCCAGTCCCTCCCATTATATCCCAGTCCCCTCCCAGTCCCTCCCAGTATATCCCAGTTCCCTCCCAGTCCCTCCCATTATATCCCAGTCCCCTCCCAGTCCCTCCCAGTATATCCCAGTTCCCTCCCAGTCCCTCCCATTATATCCCAGTCCCCTCCCAGTCCATCCCAGTATATCCCAGTTCCCTCCCAGTCCCTCCCATTATATCCCAGTCCATCCCAGTATATCCCAGTTCCCTCCCACTCCCTCCCAGTATATCCCAGTCCCCTCCCAGTCCCTCCCAGTATATCCCATTTCCCTCCCAGTCCCTCCCATTATATCCCAGTCCATCCCAGTATATCCCAGTTCCCTCCCAGTCCCTCCCAGTATATCCCAGTCCCCTCCAGGTCCCTCCCATTATATCCCAGTCCCCTCCCAGTCCCTCCCAGTATATCCCATTTCCCTCCCAGTCCCTCCCATTATATCCCAGTCCCTCCCAGTATATCCCAGTCCCCTCCGAGTCCCTCCCATTATATCCCAGTCCCCTCCCAGTCCCTCCCAGTATATCCCAGTCCCCTCCCAGTCCCTCCCAGTATATCCCATTTCCCTCCCAGTCCCTCCCATTATATCCCAGTCCCCTCCCAGTCCCTCCCAGTATATCCCAGTCCCCTCCCAGTCCCTCCCATTATATCCCAGTCCCTCCCAGTATATCCCAGTTCCCTCCCAGTCTCTCCCATTATATCCCAGTCCATCCCAGTATATCCCAGTTCCCTCCCAGTCCCTCCCAGTATATCCCAGTCCCCTCCCAGTCCATCCCAGTATATCCCAGTTCCCTCCCAGTCCCTCCCATTATATCCCAGTCCATCCCAGTATATCCCAGTTCCCTCCCAGTCCATCCCAGTATATCCCAGTTCCCTCCCAGTCCCTCCCATTATATCCCAGTCCCCTCCCCTTCCCCCCCAGTCCCCCACCTGCCCCTCCACAGCGGCTCCCAGTGCCCCGAACAGCTCCTGCAGTTCCCTCATCGCCCTCTCGAGGCGCTGCAGCTCCCGGTGCCTCGACGTCACCTCGTCCAACGCCGCCCGCGTGGCCCGAGCCGCCCCGAGGACCTGGGGGCACCCCATAGAAACCCCATAAGGACCCCCATAGGGACACCAAAGGGATCCATAGGGATGCAGAGACCCATAGGGACCCATAGGGACCCCATAGGGACCCATAGGGATCCACAGACGACACGTGGTCCAACGCTGCCCCGAGGACGTGGGGGCACCCCATAGAAACCCCATAAGGACCCCATAGGGTTGCAGAGACCCATAGGGACCCATAGGGACCTATAGGGACCTATTGCAACCCATAGGAACCCATAGAGGCCCACACATGACACCTGGTCTGATGCCACCCTGAGGACCAGGGGGCACCCCACAGAAACCCCATAAGGACCCCATAGGGATCCATAGGGATGCAGAGACCCATAGGGACCCATAGGGACCCCATAGGAATCCCATAGGGGCCCACAGACGACACCTGGTCTGACGCCACCCTGAGGACCTGGGGGCATCCCATAGAAATCCCATAAGGACCCCATAGGGACCCCAAAGGGATCCATAGGCACGCAGAGACCCATAGGGACCCATAGGGACCCCATAGGAACCCCATAGGGACCCCATAGGGGCCCACAGACGACACCTGGTCTGATGCCACCCTGAGGACCTGGGGCACCCCATAGAAACCCCATAAGGATCCCATAAAGACCCCAAAGGGACCCATAGGGACGCAGAGACCCATAGGAACCCATAGGGACCCCATAGGGACCCCATAGGGACCCCATAGGGACCCACAGACGACACCTGGTCCGACGTCTCCCTGACGACCTGGGGGCACCCCATAGAAACCCCATAAGGACCCCATAGGGACCCCAAAGGGATCCAGAGGCACGCAGAGACCCATAGGGACCCATAGGGACCCCACAGATCCCATAGAGACCCATAGAGATCCCATAGAGACCCATAGGGACCCACAGGGACCCCATAGAGCCCCACAGATCCCATGTTGACCCATAGGGACCCCATAGAGCCTCACAGATCCCATATTGACACATAGGGACCTACAGGGACCCATAGAGACCCATATGGACCCCATAGATCCCATAGTGACTATAGGGACCCATAGGGCCCCCATAGATCCCATACTGACCCATAGGGACCCCATAGAGACCTATGGGGAAACCCGTAGAGATCTCACAGAGAGCCCATAGGGACCCCATAGATCCAATATTGACCCACAGAGACCCCATAGAGCCCCATAGATCCCATATTGACACATAGGGACCCTATTGAGCCCCATAGATCCCATACTGACCCATAGGGACCCCATAGAGCCCCACAGACCCCATATTAACCCATAGGGACCCTATTGAGCCCCATAGATCCCATACTGACCCACAGGGACCCCATAGAGCCCCATAGATCCCATATTGACCCACAGGGACCCCATAGAGCCCCATAGATCCCATATTGACCCACAGGGACCCCATAGAGCCCCATAGATCCCATATTGACCCCTAGGGACCCCACAGACACCCCATAGGGACCCCCTAGAGATCTATGGGGCGCCCCACGACTCACGTTGGAAACGAAGACTTCGCTCTGCCCGCTTTCCAGCATCTCCTCCAATTCCTCATCGGTCACCGCTGAGTTCCCAGCTGTGGGGCACCCCATAAACTCAGGGGACCCCAAAAGATGGGGCCAGACCCCCCAAAAAAACCCCATAGGGATTCACCCAGAGCCCCCAAACCCAATTAATAGACCCCAAATCCCACTGAGAGCCCCCCAAAGCCCCATTAATGGTCCCCAAATCCCCATTAATAGACCCCAAAACCCCATTAATGGCCCCCAAACACAATTAATAGACCCCAAAGCCCCATTAATAGCCCCCAAACCTAATTAATAGTGCCCAAAGCCAATTAATAGACCCCAAAGCCCCATTAATAGCCCCCAAACCTAATTAATAGTGCCCAAAGCCAATTAATAGCCCCCAAACCCAATTAATAGACCCCCAAACCCAATTAATAGACCCCAAAATCCAATTAATAGCCCCGAAACCCAATTAAGAGAGACTCCAAAGCCGTATTAATAACCCCCAAACCTTATTAATAGCCCCCAAACCTAATTAATAGACCCCAAACCCAATTAATAGACCCCAAAGCCCTATTAATAGCCCCCAAACCTAATTAATAGCCCCCAAACCCAATTAATAGACCCCAAAGCCCTATTAATAGCCCCCAAACCTAATTAATAGCCCCCAAACCCAATTAATAGACCCCGAAGCCCTATTAATAGCCCCCAAACCTAATTAATAGTGCCCAAAGCCCTATTAATAGACCCCAAACCTTATTAATAGTGCCCAAAGCCAAATTAATAGACCCCAAAGCCCAATTAATGGCCCCCAAATCCGAATAGCCCCCAAACCAAATTAATAGACCCCCAAACCCGATTAATAGACCCCAAAATCCAATTAATAGCCCCCAAACCCAATTAATAGACTCCAAAGCCCTATTAATAGCCCCCAAACCTTATTAATAGCCCCCAAACCTAATTAATAGACCCCAAACCCAATTAATAGACCCCAAAGCCCTATTAATAGCCCCCAAACCTAATTAATAGCCCCCAAACCCAATTAATAGACCCCAAAGCCCTATTAATAGCCCCCAAACCTAATTAATAGCCCCCAAACCCAATTAATAGACCCCGAAGCCCTATTAATAGCCCCCAAACCTAATTAATAGTGCCCAAAGCCCTATTAATAGACCCCAAACCTTATTAATAGTGCCCAAAGCCAAATTAATAGACCCCAAAGCCCAATTAATGGCCCCCAAATCCGAATAGCCCCCAAACCAAATTAATAGACCCCCAAACCCGATTAATAGACCCCAAAATCCAATTAATAGCCCCCAAACCCAATTAATAGACTCCAAAGCCCTATTAATAGCCCCCAAACCTTATTAATAGCCCCCAAACCTAATTAATAGACCCTCAAAGCCAATTAATAGACCCCAAACCCAATTAATAGCCCCCAAACCTAATTAATAGCCCCCAAACCCAATTAATAGACCCCAAAATCCAATTAATAGACCCCAAACCCAATTAATAGACTCCAAAGCCCTATTAATAGCCCCCAAACCTTATTAATAGCCCCCAAACCTAATTAATAGCCCCCAAACCCAATTAATAGACCCCAAAGCCCTATTAATAGCCCCAAACCTAATTAATAGCCCCCAAACCTAATTAATAGTGCCCAAAGCCCTATTAATAGCGCCCAAAGCCCCATTAATAGATCCCAAACCTAATTAATAGTGCCCAAAGCCAAATTAATAGACCCCAAAGCCCAATTAATGGCCCCCAAATCCCAATTAATAGCCCCCAAACCAAATTAATAGACCCCCAAACCCAATTAATAGACCCCAAAATCCAATTAATAGCCCCCAAACCCAATTAATAGACTCCAAAGCCCTATTAATAGCCCCCAAACCTTATTAATAGCCCCCAAACCTAATTAATAGTGCCCAAAGCCCTATTAATAGCCCCCAAACCTAATAGCCCCCAAACCCAATTAATATACCCCCAAACCCAATTAATAGACCCCAAAATCCAATTAATAGCCCCCAAACCCAATTAATAGAATCCAAAGCCCTATTAATAGCCCCCAAACCCAATTAATAGACCCCAAACCAAATTAATAGACCCCAAAGCCCCATTAATAGACCCCAAACCTAATTAATAGTGCCCAAAGCCAAATTAATAGCCCCCAAAGCCAATTAATAGCCCCCAAAGCCCCATTAATGGACCCCAAACCTAATTAATAGTGCCCAAAGCCAATTAATAGCCCCCAAAGCCCCATTAATGGACCTCAAACACAATTAACAGACCGCAAACACAATTAATAAATGTCATTTGTGGGGCCATTTTTGGGGGTCATTTTTAAGGCCATTTTTGGGGTCGTTTTTGAGGCCATTTTTGGGGCCATTCTGGGTCAATTTTAGGGCCATTTTTGGGGCATTTTGGGCCATTTTTGGGGTCATTTTTAGGGCCATTTTTAACCCATTTTAGGGCATTTTAGGGCCATTTTTGGGGCCATTTTCAAGGCCATTTTTGGATCCATTTTTAGGGCTTTTTTGGGGTCATCTTAAAGGCATTTTTAGGGTCATTTTTGGCGCCATTTTTTAGGGCCATTTTGGGGGTCATTTTGGGTCATTTTAGGGCCATTTTTGGGGCCATTCTGGGTCATTTTTGGGGTCATTTTTAGGGCATTTTTGAGGCCACTTTTGGGGTCATTTTAGGGCATTTTTGGGGCCATTTTTAGGGACACTTTTAAGCCATTTTTAGGGCATTTCTGGGCCATTTTTAGGGTCATTAATAAGCCTTTTTTAGGGCATTTTTTGGGGTCATTTTTAAGCCATTTTTAGGGCATTTTCGGGGACATTTTTGGGGTCATTTTTGGGGCCATTCTGGGTCATTTTAGGGCATTTTTGGGGTCATTTTAGGGCATTTTTGGGGGTCATTTTTAGGGTCATTTTTAGGGCCATTTTTAGGGCCATTCTGGGTCATTTTTGGAGCCGTTTTGGGTCATTTTTGGGGCCATTTTTTAGGGCCATTTTTGGGGTCATTTTCAGCTCCATTCTGGGTCATTTTAGGGCCATTTTTGGGGCCATTCTGGGTCATTTATGGGGTCATTTTTAGGGCATTTTCAGGGCCATTTTTGGGGTCATTTTTGGGGCCATTCTGGGTCATTTTGGGGCATTTTTGGGGTCATTTTAGGGCCATTTTGGGGTCATTTTTAGGGCCATTCTGGGTCATTTTAGGGCCAATTTTGGGGTCATCTGTGGGGTCATTTTTAGGGCATTTTTGGGGCGATTTTTTAGGGCCATTTTTGGGGCATTTTTAGGGTCATTTTTAGGGCATTTTAGGGCCATTTTTGGGGTCATTTTTAGGGCATTTTTGGGGTCATTCCTGGGGCCATTTAGAGCCCATTTTTGGGGCCATTTTTGGGCCATTTTTGTGACCATTTTAGGGCCATTTCAGGGGCCATTTTTAGGGTCACTTTTAAGCGATTTTTAGAGCATTTTCGGGGTTATTTTTAGGGCCATTTTTGGGGTCTTATTGGGGCGTTTTTAGGTCCTTTTGGGGGCCAATTTCGTGGCATTTTGGGCAATTTTACTGGTCATTTTTAGGGCCATTTTTGGTCATATTTAGGTCATTTCGGGGCCATTTTTAGTGTCACTGTAAAGCCATTTTTAAGGCAATTTTGGGGTCATTTTTGCCCTTTTGGGGCCATTTTTGGGGTTGTTTTAGGGCCACTTTTGGGTCATTTTTGGGGCCATTCTGGGTCACTTTTGGGGTCATTTTTGGGGCATTTTGGGGGTCATTTTTAGGGCATTTTTGGGGTCATTTTTAGGCCCATTTTTGGGGTCATTTTTGGGGCCATTCTGCGTCATTTTGGGGTCATTTTGGGGACCATTTTGGGGGCCATTTTTAGGGTCATTTTAAGGCCATTTTAGGGCATTTTTGGGGTCATTCGGGGCCATTTTTAGTGTCACTGTAAAGCCATTTTTAGGGCAATTTTGGGGTCATTTTTGCCCTTTTGGGGCCATTTTTGGGGTTGTTTTAGGGCCATTTTGGGGTCATTTTTGGGGCCATTCTGGGTCACTTTTGGGGTCATTTTTGGGGCCATTTTTAGGCCCATTTTTGGGGCCATTTTTGGGGCCATTCTGCGTCATTTTGGGGTCATTTTGGGGGCCATTTTTGGGTCATTTTGGGGGCCATTTTTAGGGACATTTTTAAGCCATTTTAGGGCATTTTTGGGGTCATTTCGGGGCCATTTTTAGGGTCATTTTAAAGCCATTTTTAGGGCAATTTTGGGGTCATTTTGGGGTCATTTCGGGGCCATTTTTAGGGTCATTTTAAAGCCATTTTAGGGGAATTTTTGGGGTCATTTTTGCCCTTTTGGGGCCATTTTTGGGATTGTTTTAGGGCCATTTTGGGGTCATTTTTGGGGCCATTCTGGGGTCATTTTTGGGGCCATTTTTGGGGCCATTCTGGGTCACTTTTGGGGTCATTTTTGGGGCATTTTGGGGGTCATTTTTAGGCCCAATTTTGGGGTCGTTTTTGGGGCCATTCTGCGTCATTTTGGGGTCATTTTGGGGGCCATTTTTAGGGACATTTTTAAGCCATTTTAGGGCATTTTTGGGGTCATTTCGGGGCCATTTTTAGGGTCATTTTAAAGCCATTTTTAGGGCAATTTTGGGGTCATTTTTGCCCTTTTGGGGCCATTTTTGGGGTTGTTTTAGGGCCATTTTGGGGTCATTTTTGGGGACATTTTTGGGGCCATTCTGGGTCACTTTTGGGGTCAGTTTTGGGGCATTGTGGGGTCATTTTTAGGCCCATTTTTGGGGTCGTTTTTGGGGCCATTCTGTGTCATTTTGGGGTCATTTTGGGGGCCATTTTTAGGGACATTTTTAAGCCATTTTAGGGCATTTTTGGGGTCATTTCGGGGCCATTTTTAGTGTCACTGTAAAGCCATTTTTAGGGCAATTTTGGGGTCATTTTTGCCCTTTTGGGGCCATTTTTGGGGTTGTTTTAGGGCCATTTTGGGGTCATTTTTGGGGCCATTTTTGGGGCCATTCTGGGTCACTTTTGGGGTCATTTTTGGGGTCATTTTAGGGGAATTTTTGGGGTCATTTTTGCCCTTTTGGGGCCATTTTTGGGGCCATTTTTGGGGCCATTCTGCGTCATTTTGGGGTCATTTGGGGGGCCATTTTTAGGGACATTTTTAAGCCATTTTAGGGCATTTTTGGGGTCATTTCGGGGCCATTTTTAGGGTCATTTTAAAGCCATTTTTAGGGCAATTTTGGGGTCATTTTGAGGTCATTTTTGGGGCCATTTTTAGTGTCACTGTAAAGCCACTTTTAGGGCAATTTTGGGGTCATTTTGGGGTCATTTCAGGGCCATTTTTAGGGTCATTTTAAAGCCATTTTAGGGGAATTTTTGGGGTCATTTTTGCCCTTTTGGGGCCATTTTTGGGGCCATTCTGGGTCACTTTTGGGGTCATTTTTGGGGTCATTTTTAGGCCCATTTTTGGGGTCATTTTGGGGGTCATTTTTTGGCCCATTTTTGGGGTCATTTTGGGGACCATTTTGGGGTCATTTTGGGGGCCATTTTTAGGGACATTTTTAAGCCATTTTAGGGCATTTTTGGGGTCATTTCGGGGCCATTTTTAGGGTCATTTTAAAGCCATTTTCAGGGCAATTTTGGGGTCATTTTTGCCCTTTTGGGGCCATCTTTGGGCTGTTCTGGCACTGACTGATGTGCAGATGGCGCCGCACTCGCTGCAGGCAGCGCTGCCTGTAGTGGCTCTGAGCTGCGTGGAGCCTCGACGTCACGGCCAGGAACTCCTGCAGGAGGACGCCGTGCTGCAAGAGACACAAAGAACCCATCAGGCAACCCCAAATCCCAACAAACGGCACCAAAATCCCAAGAAATGACCCCAAAATCTCAAGAAATGGCTCCAAAATCCCAAGAAATTACCCCAGAATCCCAAGAAATGACACCAAAATCCCAATTAATGACACCAAAATCCCATTAAATTACCCCAATTCCCAATAAAAGGCCCGAAAATCCCAGGAAATTACCCCAAAATCCCAATAAATGACCCCAAAATCCCAATGAAAGGCCACAAAATCCCAATAAATAGCCACGAAATCTCCCAAAATGACCCCAAATCCCATTCAACGACCTGAAATCCCAATTAATGACACCAAAATCCCAATAAAGGACCCCAAATCCCAAGAAATGGCCACAAAATCTCAATAAAGGACCCCAAATCCCAATGAACGGCCACAAAATCCCAGGAAACGGCCCCAAAATCCTGAGAAATTGCACCAAAATATCAATAAATGGCCCCAAAATCCCAATAAGAGAACACAAAATCTCCCAAAATGACCCCAAATCCAAATAACCAGACTCAAAATCCCAAGAAATGGCCCCAAAATCCCAAGAAACGGCCACAAAATCCCAATAAATGGTCACAAAATCTCCCCAAATGACCCAAAATCCCAAGAAATTGCCCCCAAATCCCAATAAATGACCAAAAATCTCAAAAAATGGCCACAAAATTCAAATAAATGGCCCCAAATTCCCAATAAATGGCCCCAAAATCTCCCAAAATGACCCCAAATCCCAATAAAGGAGCCCAAAATCCCAAGAAATGGCCCCAAAATCTCCCCAAATGACCCTAAAATCACAAGAAACAACCCAAAATCCCACAAAATGGCCACAAAATAACCATAAATGGCAAAGAAATCCCAATAAATGACCCCAAAATCTCCCCAAATGACCCTAAAATCCCAAGAAACGGCACCGAAACGCCCAAAATGGCCCCAAAACATCAACAAATGGCCCCAAAACCCCAACAAACAACCCCAAATTCCCCAAAAACGGGGGTTTTCACCAAGAAAACCCTGCTTTTCCCCTAAAATCTGGGGTGTTCTTGTCCCTAATCCTAACCCCTAACCCTAACAACCCTAACCCCAAACCTAACCCGAACCCTATACCCTACTCCAACCCTAACCCTAAACCCTACTCTAACCCTAAAAACCCTAACCCCAAACCCAAACCTTAACCCTAACCCTAACCTAAACCACAACCCCAACCCTAAACCCTAAAGCATAACCCTAATCTTAAACACCAACCCTAAACCCTAACCCTAAACCCAAAAAGCCAACCCTAACCCCTACACTAACCCTAACCCTACTCCAACCCTAACCCTAAACCCTAATCCTACTCTGACCCTAGAAACCCTAACCCCAAACCCTAAACCCTAACCCTAAACCCAACCACTAACCCTAACCCAAACCCTACTCTAACCCTAAACCCAACCCTAAACTCTAATCCTAACCCAACCCTAACAACCCTAACGCTACACCCAACCCTAACCCTAACCCCAAACTCTATCCCTATACCCTACTCTGACCCTAACCCTAAACCCAACACCAGCCCAACCCTAAACACAACCCTAACCCTAACCCTAACCCTATACCCTAACCCTAACCCTAACCCAACCCTAACCCAAACCATAATCCCAACCCTAAACCCTAAAGCATAACCATAATCTTAAACCCCAACCCTAAACCCTAACCCTAAACCCTAAACGCCAACCCTAACCCCTACCCTACCACTACCCCTAACCCTACTCCAACCCTAACCCTAAACCTTAATCCTACTCTAACCCTAACCCTAACCGCAAACCCTAAACCTAAACCCAACCACTAACCCTAACCCTACTCTAATCCTAACCCTAACCTTAACCCTAACCCTACATCCAACCCTAACCCCAAACCCTAACCCTATACCCTACTCTAACCCTAACTCTAAACCCAACCCTAACCCTAACCTAAACCATAACCCCAACCCTAAACCCTAAACGCCAACCCTAACCCCTACCCCAACCATACCCTAACCCTAATCCTAAAACTAACCCTACTCCAACCCTAACCCTAAACTCTAATCCTACTCTAACCCTAAAAACCCTAACCCTAAACCCTAACACTAAACCCAACCACTAACCATAACCCTACCCTAATCCTAACCCTACACACAACCCTAACAACCCTACCCTAACCCCAAACCCTATCCCTTTACCCTACTCTAACCCTAAACCCAACATTAGCCCAACCCTAAACCTAACCCCAAACCCACCCCTAAAACTGACCCTAACCTAAACCATAACCCCAAACCTAAACCCTAACCCTAAACCCTAAATGCCAACCCTAACCACTACTCTACCCCTAATCCTAACCCTAACCCTACTCCAAACCTAACCCTAAACCCTAATCCTACTCTAACCCTAAAAACCCTAACCCCAAACCCTAAACCCTAACCCTAAACCCAACCACTAACCCTAACCATACTCTAATCCTAACCCCTACCCTAAACCTAAACCCTAATCCTACTCTAACCCTAAAAACCCCAACCCCAAACCCTAAACCCTAACCCTAAACCCAACCCTAAACTCTAATCCTAACCCAACCCTAACAACCCTGACCCTAACCCTACAACCCTAACCCTATACCCTACTCTGACCCTAACCCTAAACCCAACACTAGCCCAACCCTAAACCCAACCCTAACCCTAACCCAAACCATAATCCCAACCCTAAACCCTAAAGCATAACCCTAATCTTAAACCCCAACCGCCAACCCTAACCCCTACCCTACCACTACCCCTAACCCTACTCCAACCCTAACCCTAAACCTTAATCCTACTCTAACCCTAACCCTAACCCCAAACCCTAAACCTAAACCCAACCACTAACCCTAACCCTACTCTAATCCTAACCCTAACCCAACCCTAACAACCCTAACCCTAACCCTACACCCAACCCTAACCATAAACCCAAAACCTAAACCTATACCCTACTCTGACCCTAACCCTAAACCCAACACTAGCCCAACCCTAAACCTAACCCTAAACCCACCCCTAAACCTGACCCTAACCTAAACCATAAACCCAACCCTAAACCCTAAAGCATAACCATAATCTTAAACCCCAACCCTAAACCCTAACCCTAAACGCCAACCCTAACCCCTACACTAACCCTAACCCTATCCCATCCCTAACCCTAAACCCTAACCCTACTCTAATCCTAAAAACCCTGACCCCAAACCCTAAACCCTAACCCTAAACACAACACCAGCCCAACCCTAAACCTAACCCAAACCCTAACCTAAACCATAACCCCAACCTTAAACCCTAAAGCATAACCCTAATCTTAAACCCCAACCCTAAACCCTAACCCTAAACCCAAAAAGCCAACCCTAAACCCTACACTAACCCTACCCCTACCCCTACCCTAATCCTAACCCTACTCGAACCCTAACCCTAAACCCTAACCCTACTCTAACCCTAAAAACCCTAACCCCAAACCCTAAACCCTAACCCTAAACCCAACCACTAACCCTAAACACTACCCTAAACTCTAATCCTAACCCAACCCTAACAACCCTAACCTTAACCCTACACCCAACCCTAAACTCTAATCCTAACCCTAACCCTAACAACCCTAACCCTAACCCTACACCCAACCCAAACCCTAACCCTATACCCTACTCTAACCCCAACCCTAAACCTAACCCTAAACCCAACCCTAACCCTAACCTAAACCATAACCCCAACCCTAAACCCTAAAGCATAACCCTAATCTTAAACCCCAACCCTAACCCCAAACCCTAAACCCAATCACTAACCCTAACCCTAACCTAAACCATAACCCTAAACCCTAAAGCATAACCCTAATCTTAAACCTCAACCCTAAACCCTAACCCTAAACCCAACCACTAACCCTAACCCTAACCCAAACCATAACCCTAAACCCTAAAGCATAACCCTAATCTTAAACCTCAACCCTAAACCCTAACCCTAAACCCAACCACTAACCCTAACCCTAAACCCAACCCTAAACTCTAATCCTAACCCAACCCTAACACTAACAACCCCAACCCTACACCCAACCCTAACCCTATACCCTAACCCTGACCCTAACCATAACCCCAACCCTAAACCCTAAAGCATAACCATAATCTTAAACCCCAACCCTAAACCCTAAACGCCAACCCTAAACCCTACACTAACCCCAACCCTACCCCCTACCCCCTAATCCCTGGTTTTCCCATTAAATATTCGGTTTTCCCCCTTGAATGAGTATTTCTGCTAGAAATCCCTGTTTTTCACCTAAAATCTTGCTTTTTCTACAAGAACTGCCTGGTTTTAACCTTAGATTTGGGGTTTTCTCACAAAAATCCCTGTTTTTAACCTTAAATATGGGGTTTTCTCACACAAATCCCTGTTTTTAAACTTAACTTTGGCTTTTACTCCAAGAAATCCCTGTTTTAAACATTTAATTTGAAGTTCTTCCCCTTAAAACTGGCTTTTTCTCCCAGAAATCCCTGTTTTTCACCTTAAATTTGGGGTTTTTCCCATACATCTGGGGTTTTCTCACAGAAATCCCTGGTTTTAACATTAAATCTGCCTTTTTCTCACACAAATCCCTGTTTTTCCATTAAATATGGGGTTTTCCCCCTTAAATATGAGTATTTCTGCTAGAAATCCCTGTTTTTCACCTAAAATCTGGATTTTTCTCCAAGAAATCCCTGTTTTTCACCTTAAATTTGGGGTTTTTCCCTTAAATTTGGCTTTTCTTACACAGAAATCCCTGGTTTTAACCTTAAATCTGGTTTTTTTTTTGCCAGAAATCCCTGTTTTAACCTAAAACCTGGCTTTTTCTCACAGAAATCCCTGTTTTTAACCTAAAACCTGGCTTTTTCTCCAAGAAATCCCTGTTTCTAACCGTAAATTTGGGGTTTTCTCACAGAAATCTCTGTTTTTAACCTAAAATCTGGCTTTTTGTCCCAGAAAACTATTTTTTTAACCTTAAATCTGGGGTTTTTCCCTGTAAATCTGGGGTTTTCTCACAGAAATCCCTGGTTTTAACTTTAAATCTGGGGTTTTTTTGCCAGAAATCCCTGGTTTTAACCTTAAATCTGGCTTTTTCTCACACAAATCCCTGTTTTTCCATTAAATATGGGGTTTTCCCCCTTAAATATGAGTATTTCTGCTAGAAATCCCTGTTTTTCACCTAAAATCTGGCTTTTACTCCAAGAAATCCCTGTTTTTAACCTTAAATCTGGGTTTTTTTGGCAGAAATCCCTGTTTTTAACCTTAAATCTGGCTTTTACTCCAAGAAATCCCTGGTTATGACCTTAAATTTGGGGTTTTCCCTTAAATCTGGGGTTTTCCCCCTTAAATATGAGTATTTCTGCTAGAAATCCCTGTTTTTAACCTTAAATATGGGGTTTTTACCTTAAATCTGGGGTTTTCTCCCAGAAATCCCTGTTTTCAACCTTAAATTTGGCTTTTCTTACACAGCAATCCCTGTTTTTCACCTTAAATTTGGGGTTTTTCCCTTAAATCTGGGCTTTTCTTACACAGAAATCCCTGTTTTTATCCTTAAATCTGGGTTTTTTTTTGCCAGAAATCCCTGTTTTAACCTAAAATCTGGCTTTTTCTCCCAGAAATCCCTGTTTTTCACCTTAAATCTGGGGTTTTCTCCCAGAAATCCCTGTTTTTTTACCTTAAATATGGGGTTTTCTCCCAGAAATCCCTGTTTTTAACCTTAAATCTGGGTGTTTTTTTTTTTCCAGAACTCCCTGTTTTTCACCTTAAATCTGGGCTTTTTTTTTTCCAGAAATCCCTGTTTTTCACCTTAAATCTGGGCTTTTCTACTCCCTGTTTTTTCCCCAAATTCAATTGCTTTCCCTTTTCAACACGCTTTTCTGTTTCCTTCAATCCCCATCGTCTCCTTTTGCCCCAAATCTCCTTTTTCACCCCAAAACGCCCCTCACCATCAGCAGCATCAATAACACCAAAAAGCCCCAAAAAGCCCCAAAAAGCCCCAAAAAGCCCCAAAAAGCCCCCAAAATGCCCCCAAAATGCCCTTTTTCAGCCCAATTTCGGTACCTGCGTGCGCCGGACGCGGGCGCTGATGGAGGCCAGGTTTTGTTGGTCCTCAGGCCGAGGCTCCAGCGCTGCGGTTTGGGGTGAAATCGGGCGATTTTGGGGCGTTTTGGGGGGAAAAAGAAATGAAGGGTTTTGGGGTTTTGGTTTGGGGGGTGGGAATGGGGATTTTTTTGGGGGAAAAAGGGGATTTTGGGGGGGAAAAATGGGGATTTGGGGGGGGGGGAAATGGAGTTTTGGGGGGGGGAAAATGGGGTTTTTGGGGGTAAAAATGGGATTTGGGGGGGAAAAATGAGAATCTGGGGGGGAAATGGGGGATTTTTGGGAACCTACGAAGGGATTCTTGGGGTAAAAATGGGATTTTGGGGAGGAAACGGGGGATTTTGGGGATCTCATAAAGGGAATTCTGGGGTGAAAATGGGATTTTGCAGGGAAAAAGGGGATTTGGGGGATTTTTGGGATCCTATGAAGGGATTTTGGAGGTAAAAATGGGATTTTGGGGGAGAAAAAGGGGATTTTTGGGAACTTATAAAGGAATATTTGGGGTAAAACTGGGATTGTGGGGTAAAAAGTGGATTTTGGGGATCCTATAAAGGGATTTATGGGGGAAAAAGGGGATTTTGGGGGGGAATGAGGGATTTTGGGGAACCTATAAAGGGAATTTGGGGGCAAAAATGGGATCTTGGGGAGAATGGGGGATTTTTAGGGAGGAAAAAGGGGATTTTGGGGGGAAATGGGGGATTTTTGGGAACCTATAAAGAGATTTTGGGGGTAAAAATGGGGATTTTGAGGAGAAAAAGGGGATTTTGGGGGAGAAAAATAGAGGGATTTGGGGGGAAAAAAAATGGGGGATTTGGGGAGAGAAAAATGGGGGATTTTTGGGAACCTATAAATGGATTTTTGGGGTGAAAATGGGATTTTGTGGGGAAAAAGGGGATTTGGGGGATTTTTGGGATCCTATAAAGGGATTTTGGAGGTAAAAATGGGATTTTGGGGGAGAAAAAGGGGATTTTTGTGAACCATAAAGGGATTTTTGGGGTAAAACTGGGATTGTGGGGGTAAAAAGTGGATTTGGGGGATTTTGGGGATCCTATGAAGGGATTTTTGGGGTAAAAGTGGGATTCTGGGGATCCTATAAAGGGATTTTTGGGGTAAAAATGGGATTTTGGGGAGGAAATGGGGGATTATGGGGATCTCATAAAGGGAATTCTGGGGTGAAAATGGGATTTTGCAGGGAAAAAGGGGATTTGGGGGATTTTGGGGATCCTATGAAGGGATTTTGGAGGTAAAAATGGGATTGTGGGGGTAAAAAGTGGATTTGGGGGATTTTGGGGATCCTATAAAGGGATTTTGAGGGTGAAAATAGGATCTTGGGGAACGTATAAAGGGAATTTTGGGGTAAAAATGGGATTTTTGGGGGGGGGAATGAGGGATTTTGGGGATCCTATAAAGGGATTTATGGGGGAAAAATGGGATCTTGGGGAGAATGGGGGATTTTTGGGGAGGAAAAAGGGGATTTGGGGGAGGAAATGGGGGATTTTTGGGGTAAGAATGGGATTTTGGGGGGAGGAATGGGGGATTTTTGGATCCTATAAAGGGATTTTGGGGGTAAAAATAGGATTTTAGTGGGATTGGGGGATTTGTGGGGGGAGAACAGGGGCTTTTGGGGCTCCTATAATGGGATTTTGGTGTGAAAATGGTTTTTGGGGGAGAAAAAGGGGATTTTGGGATCCTACAATCGAATTTTTGGGGTAAAAGTGGGATTTAAAGAGGGAAATGGGGGATTTTGGGATCCTAAAAAGGGATTTTGAGGGTAAAAATGGGATTTTGGACAGAAATGGGGGATTTTAGGGAACCTATAAAGGGATTTTGGGGGTAAAAATGGGATTTTGGGGGAGGAAAAGGGGATTTTTGGGAAACTATAGAGGGATTTTGGGGGTAAAAATCGGATTTTGGGGGGGGAAATGGGGGATTTTTAGGAAGAAAAATGGGATTTTGGTGGGGACATGGGGGATTTGTGGCTCCTATAATGGGATTTTGGTGTGAAAATGGTTTTTTGGGGAGAAAAAGGGGATTTTGAGATCCTATAATCGGATTTTTGGGGTAAAAATGGGATTTAAAGAGGGAAATGGGGGATTTGAGGATCCTATAAAGGGATTTTTGGGGTAAAAATGGGATTTGGGGGGGGGGGGGGAATGGGGGATTTTTAGGGAGAAAAATGGGATTTTTGGGGGGGGACATGGGGGATTTGGGGCTCCTATAATGGGATTTTTGGGGTGAAAATGGTTTTTGGGGGAGAAAAAGGGGATTTTGGGACCCTATAATCGGATTTTTGGGGTAAAAATGGCATTTAAAGAGGGAAATGGGGGATTTGGGGATCCTATAAAGGGATTTTTGGGGTAAAAATGGGATTTGGGGGGGGGAATGGGGGATTTTTAGGGAGAAAAATGGGATTTTTGGGGGGGACATGGGGGATTTGGGGCTCCTATAATGGGATTTTTGGGGTGAAAATGGTTTTTGGGGGAGAAAAAGGGGATTTTGGGACCCTATAATCGGATTTTTGGGGTAAAAATGGCATTTAAAGAGGGAAATGGGGGATTTTGGGATCCTAAAAAAGGATTTTGGGGGTAAAAATGGGATTTTGGACAGATATAGGGGATTTTGGGGAACCTATAAAGGGATTTTGGGGGTAAAAATGGGATTTTGGGGGGGAAATGGGGGATTTTGGGGAGAAAAATGGGGGATTTTTGGGGTAAAAAGGGGATTTTGGGATCCTACAAAGGGATTTTGGGGGTGAAAATGGGATTTTTGGGAGCCTATAAAGGGAATTTTGGGGTAAAATGGGATTTTGGGGGGGTAGGGGAATTTTGGGATCCTATAAAGGGACTTTGGGGGGTAAAAATGGGATTTGGGGGCAAAGATGGGGGATTTGGGGGTAAAAACGGGGGATTTTTTGGACTTCTGGGGTTTCTTGGGGGGGAAAAGCGGCTTGCGGGGGGGGAAACGGGGGATTTTGGGGTGGATTTGTGGGGTTGTGGGGTCGCACCTTGGAGGTGGCAGCGCGTCTGGTTGGCCAGCAGCTGCAGCTCCTCCTGCTGCGCCTGCAGGGCGCGCTTCTGCTCTGCTGGGGAAACGGCCCACGGGGGGCTGCCCCATAGCAACGCACACAGAGCCACAGGGACCCCACAGGGACCCCACAGGGAGCTATAGTGCCCCATAGAGCTCATAGCAACCCTAGAGACCCCATAGCAACCCACAGAGACCCCACAGAAACCCCATAGAGACCCCATAGAGAGCTATAATGCCCCATAGAGCTCATAGCAACCCCAAAGACCCCACAGAAACCCCATAGGAACACATTCAGACCCCATAGGGACACATAGAGACAGCACAGAAAGCTACAATGCCCCATAGAGACCCCATAGAGAACAATAATGCTCCATAGAGACCCTACAGAAACCCCATAGGCACACATTCAGACCCCATAGGGACCCATAGAGACCCCACAGAGAGCTATAATGCCCCACAGAGCTCATAGCAACCCTAGAGACCCCATAGCAACCCACAGAGACCCCACAGAAACCCCACAGAGAGCTATAGTGCCCCATAGAGCTCATAGCAACCCCAAAGACCCCATAGCAACACACAGAGACCCCACAGAAACCCCATAGGGACCCCATACAGAGCTATCACGCCCCATAGGAACCCTATAGAAAGCTATAATGCCCCATAGAGACCACAAAGAACCCCCATAGAGACCCCACAGAACACCCATAGAGAGCTATAATGCCCCATAGAGCCCACAGAGACCCCATAGAGAGCTATAAAGCCCCATAGGGACCCCATAGGGACCCCACAGAGAGCTATAATGCCCCATAGAGCTCATAGAAACCCCAGAGACTCCATAGCAACCCACAGAGACCCCACAGAAACCCCATAGAGAGCTATAGTGCCCCATAGAGCTCATAGAAACACCAAAGACCCCATAGCAACCCACAGAGACCCCACAGAAACCCCATAGAGACCCCATAGAGAGCTATAGTGCCCCATAAAGCTCATAGCAACCTTAAAGACCCCATAGCAACACACAGAGATGCCACAGAGACCCCACAGAGACCTATAATGCCCCATAGAGCTCATAACAAACCCAAAGACCCCATAGCAACCCATAGAGACCCCACAGAAACCCTATAGAGAGCTATAATGCTCCATAGAGTTCATAGCAACCCCATAGAGAGCTATAGTGCCCCACAGGGCTCGTACCAACCCCAAAGACCCCACAGAAACCCCACAGGCACACATTCAGACCCCATAGGGACCCATAGAGACCCCACAGAGAGCTATAATGCCCCATAGAGCTCGTAGAAACCCCACAGAAACCCCAAAGAGATCTATAGTGCCCCATAGAGCTCATAGCAACCCCAAAGACCACATAGCAACACAGAGACCCCACAGAAACCCCACAGAAACCCCATAGAGAGCTATAGTGCCCCACAGAGCTCATAGCAACCCAATAGAGAGCTATAGTGCCCCATAGAGCTCAGAGAAACCCCAGAGACTCCATAGCAACCCACAGAGACCCCACAGAAACCCCATAGAGACCTATAGTGCCCCATAGAGTTCATAGAAACCCAAAGACCTCATAGCAACCCATAGAGACCCCACAGAAACCCTATAGAGAGCTATAATGCCCCATGGAGCTCATAGCAACCCCAAAGACCCCACAGAAACCCCATAGGGACACATTCAGACCCCATAGGGACCCATAGAGACCCCACAGAGAGATATAGTGCCCCACAGAGCTCATAGCAACCCCAAAGACCCCATAGCAACCCACAGAGACCCCACAGAGAGCTATAGTGCCCCATAGAGCTCATAGCAACCCTAGAAACCCCATAGCAACCCACTGAGACCCCACAGAAACCCCATAGGAACACATTCAGACCCCATAGGGACCCATAGAGACCCCACAGAGAGATATAGTGCCCCATAGAGCTCATAGCAACCCTAGAGACCCCATAGCAACCCACAGAGACCCCACAGAGGCCCCAGAGAGAGCCATAGTGCCCCATAGGGACCCATAGGGACCCCACAGAGAGCTATAATGCCCCATAGAGCTCATAGCAACCCCAAAGACCCCATAGCAACACACAGAGACCCCACAGAAACCCCATAGAGACCCCATAGAGAGCCATAGTGCTCCACAGAGCTCATACCAACCCCAAAGACCCCACAGAAACCCCATAGGGACACATTCGGACCCCATAGGGACCCATAGAGACCCCACAGAAAGCTATAATGCCCCATAGAGCTCATAGCAACCCCAGAGACTCCATAGCAACCCACAGAGACCCCACAGAACCTCCATAGAGAGCTATCACGCCCCATAGAAACCCCATAGAGACCCCATAGGGACCCCACAGAACCCCCATAGAGAGCTATAACGCCCCATAGAAGCCCCATAGAGACCCCATAGGGACCCCACAGAGAGCTATAATGCCCCATAGAGCTCATAGAAACCCCATAGAGACCCCATAGTAACCCACTGAAACCCCACAGAGACCCATAGGGACCCCACAAAAACCCCATAGAGAGCTATAATGCCCCACAGAGCTCATGGAAACCACAGAGACCCCATAGCAGCCCAAAGAGACCCCACAGAAACCCCATAGGGACACATAGAGAGCTATAGAGACCCCAGAGAAACCCCATAGGGACCCCATAGAGAGCTATAATGCCCCATAGAGCTCATAGAAACCCCAGAGACCCCACAAAAACCCCATGGGGACCCATAGAGACGCCACAGCTCCACAAAGTTTCCATAGAGACCCCATAGAAAAACCACACATAATCCCACACAGCCCCATAGACAAGCCCCATAGAACCCCACAGATAAACCCCACACAAACCTGTAATGCCCCATAGAACCCATAAAAACCCCATAGAGATGCATGGAGACCCCATAGAGCCCACAGAAACTCAACAGATACCCCATAGAAGCCCATAGCGAAACCCCATAGAAAGAGAAACCCCATAGCGAAACCCCATAGAAAGAAACCCCATGGAGATCCCATAAGTGCCCACAGAAACCCCATAGAGCTCCATATAGCCCCATAGAGACCCCACAGAGCCCCATAGAGCCCATAAGGACCCCACAGACAAACCCCATAGAGACCCCACAAAAAAGCCCCATAGAGACCCCATAGAAAAACCCCATATGACCCCACACAGCCCCATAAACAAGCCCCACGTAACCCCATAGGGAAACCCCATAGAGAAACCCCATAGAGAAACCCCATAGATATGCATGGGGATCCCATAGAGCCCACAGAAACTCAACAGACACCCCATAGAACCCCATAGAGACCCCATAGCGAAACCCCATAGAACCCTTTAGAACTCCATAGAAAAAAACCCCATGGAGATCCCATAGTGCTCTCAGAAACCCCACAGAGCCCCATATAACCTCATAGAGACCCCACAGACACCCATAGAGCCTCATAGAGACCCCACAGAGACCCCATATAATCCCATATTACCCCACAGACAAACCCCACAGACAAACCCCACAGACAAACCCCACAGACAAACCCCACAAACCCCTTAGAACTTCATAGAAACCCTACAGAGCTCCCAGAAACCCCACAGAGCCCCATATAACCACACAGAGACCCCACAAAGACCCAGAGCCTCATAGAGCCCCACTGACCCCATAAAGATCTCAGAGACCCACACAACTCCATAGAGCCCCCATACAATCCCATATAACCCCATACAGCCCCATAGAATCCCCCATAGAGACCCCCATAGACAAACCCCACAGAAAAGAGCCCCATAGAAAAACCCCATAGAGATCCCCTGCAGACAAACCTCATAGAGACCCCATAGAAAAACCCCATATAACCGCACACAGCCCCATAGACAAGCCCCATAGAAAAACTCCATAGAGAAACCCCATAGAGAAACCCCATAGAGAAACCCCATAGAGAAACCCCATAGAGAAACCCCATAGAGAAACCCCATAGAGAAACCCCATAGAGACCTGTAATGCCCCATAGAATCCATAAAAACCCCATAGAGATGCATGGAGACCCCATAGAGCCCACAGAAACTCAACAGATACCCCATAGCGAAACCCCATAGAGAGAGAAACCCCATAGAGAGAGAGAAACCCCATAGAGAGAGAGAAACCCCATAGAGAGAGAGAAACCCCATAGAGAGAGAGAAACCCCATAGAGAGAGAGAAACCCCATAGTGAGAGAGAAACCCCATGGAGATCCCATCAGTGCCCACAGAAACCCCATAGAGCTCCATATAACCCCATAGAGACCCCACAGAGCCCCATAGAGCCCATAAAGACCCCACAAAAAAGCCCCATAGAGACCCCACAAAAAAGCCCCATATGACCCCACACAGCCCTATAGAGAAACCCCACAGAGAAACCCCACAGAGAAACCTGTAATGCCCCATAGAACCCATAAAAACCCCATAGAGATGCATGGAGACCCCATAGAGCCCACAGAAACTCAACAGAAGCCCCATAGAAGCCCATAGCGAAACCCCATAGAGAGAGAAATCCCATAGCAAAACCCCATAGAGAGAGAAACCCCATAGCGAAACCCCATAAAGAGAGAAACCCCACAGCGAAACCCCATAGAGGAACCCCATAGAAAGAGAAACCGCATAGAAAGAGAAACCCCATAGAACCCTTTAGAACTCCATAGAAAGAAACCCCATGGAGATCCCGTAAGTGCCCACAGAAACCCCATAGAGCTCCATATAGCCCCATAGAGACCCCACAGAGCCCCCTAGAGCCCATAAGGACCCCACAGACAAACCCCATAGAGACCCCACAAAAAAGCCCCATAGAGACCCCACACAGCCCTATAGAGAAACCCCACAGAGAAACCTGTAATGCCCCATAGAACCCATAAAAACCCCATAGAGATGCATGGAGACCCCATAGAGCCCACAGAAACTCAACAGAAACCCCATAGAAGCCCATAGCGAAACCCCATAGAGAGAGAAACCCCATAGCAAAACCCCATAGAACCCTTTAGAACTCCATAGAAAGAAACCCCATGGAGATCCCATAAGTGCCCACAGAAACCCCATCGAGCTCCATATAGCCCCATAGAGACCCCACAGAGCCCCATAGAGCCCATAAGGACCCCATAGACAAACCCCACAGAAAAATCCCATAGTGACCCCACAAAAAAGCCCCATAGAGACCC